AGTTTAATGGACAGCTAGCCACCAGGATAAAGCCAAGGACAGCTACAAGTGTAATGGACTGCTAGCCACCAGGATAAAGCAAGGACAGCCACAAGTTTAATGGACAGCTAGCCACCAGGATAAACCAAGGACAGCTACAAGTGTAATGGACTGCTAGCCACCAGGATAAAGCAAGGACAGCTACAAGTTTAATGGACTGCTAGCCACCAGGACAAAGCAAGGACAGCTACAAGTTTAATGGACTGCTAGCCACCAGGATAAAGCAAGGACAGCTACAAGGTTAATGGACTGCTAGCCACTGGGATAAAGCACTGCCAGCCATCAAGATAAAGCAATTTAAGCAAAGTCAGCACCAGTTTAAAGGACTGGTAGCCACTAGGATAATGCAAGGACAGCCACTTGTTTAAAGCACTGCTAGCCACAAGGATAAAGCAAGTTCAGCCACCAGTTTAAAGAACTGCCAGCCTCCTGATTTAAAAACTGCCAGCCACCAAGATAAAGCAAGGCCAGCCACCAGTTAAAAGCACTGCCATCTACAAGGATAAAGCAAGACGGGCACTAGTTTAAAACACTGCCAGTCACCAGGATAAAGCAAACTGGCACTTGTTTAAAACACTGCCATCCACCAGGATAAAGCAATGCCAGTCTTAATTGTTAGGCCATGCCAGCCACCACAATAAGGCAAACAACAATGTCAACCACCACTAAAAGGCCATGCCAGCCACAAGTAGTTTAAGGCTAAGCCGCTATATGCCAGTCACTGGTATAAGGCTTTGTCAGCCACCAGTATGAGGCCCTGCCAAACCCATTACAAAGCCATGTCAGCCACAAGCATTATAAAGGTCATGAAAACCACCAGTATTAAGGTCATGCAAGCCATTAGTATGAGGTCATTCAAAACCCTTTACAAAGCCATGCCAGCCACAAACATAAGATCATGCAAGCCACCAGTATAAAGTCATGCCAACAACCACTATTATGTCATACCAGCCTCCAATATATGGTCATGCCAAGTCCATAACAAAGCCGTGCCAGCCACCAGTATAAGGCTATGCCAACCACTTCTATAAAGCCATTGCAGCTACCATTATAAAACCATGCCAGCCACCAGTATAAGGCCATGCCAATCAATACTTTTAGGCCATGGAAACTAGCAGTAAAAGATAATGCCAACCACTACTATAAGGCCATGCAAGCCACCAGTATAAGGCCTTGTCAGTCACCAGTATAAGGCCATGCTGGCCACTACTGTAAGCCACCAATATTAGGCTATGCAAGCCAGCAGTATAAGGTCATGCCAGCCAGTGGTATAAGGCCATAACAGCCACCAGTATAAGGCCATGCCAGCCACCAGTATAAGGCCATGCCAATCACCAGTATAAGGCCTTGCCAATCACTACTATTAGGCCATGCAAACCAGCAAAATATGGCCATGTCAGCCACTATTATAAGGCCATGCCAGCCACTACTATTAGGCCATGCAAGCTACTACTATAAGGCCAGGCCAGCCAGCAGTATTATGCCATGAAAGCCACCAGTTTTAGGCCATGCCAATCACTACTATTAGGCCATGCAAACCAGCAGTATAAGGCCATACCAACCACTACTATAAGGCCATGCCAGTCACTACTATAAGGCCATGCCCGCCACCAGTATAAGTCCTTGTCAGCCACAAACATACGGCCATGCAAGCCACCAGTATAACTCTATGCAAATCACTAATATTAGGCCATGCAAGCCACCAGTACAAGGCCATGTCAGCCACTACTATAAGGCCATGCCAGCCACCAGGATGAGGCCATGCCAGCCACCAGGATAAGGCCATGTCAGCCACTAGTATAAGGCCATGCCAGCCACCAGGATAAGGCCATGTCAGCCACTAGGATAAGGCCATAACAGCCATCAGTATAGGGCAATGCCAATTTAGCCACCAGGATAAGGCCATGTCAGCCACTACCCTACTGAAAAAAATGAGTGGGATAAGAGTGGGATCCCAGTGGGATTTCAATTAGGATCCCACTGGGACCCACCAGGAAAATTGGTCAGGATCCCACCCCATCCCAGTGGGTCCCATTGGGATCCCAATTGAAATCCCACCCTTATCCCAGTGGGATCCTGACCAAATTTCCCAGTGGGATCCAGGTGGGATCTATAGGGTTTTCTATAGGGTAGTATAAGGCTATGTCAGCCGCCAGTATAAGGCCATGTCAGCCCCCAGTATAAGGCCATGCCAGCCACCAGTACGGGGCCATGCATGCTTCAACCTTGTGTTGATATGGCAGGAAAAAAGAAAATATTTTAACATTTTTCTTTTTAAGTAGATATGGCTACATGTAGTAATTATAGAAAAGGACAATAGGTGTGTGGCAAATATAAAAAAAAACTTAATGTAAACATATATTTTTACTTTAATTGGAAGTGTATGAAAATTGTATAAAACTCAAATCATGCTCTTAGGAATTAATTGCTTTAAAACTATGTCACCAAAATATCTGAGCAGTCAACCATGATAAGGAAATTTAATACTCGTTTAAGACATTTTTTACAAAAAATTTATTTAAATATAATAAAGTGTTAATAGGACATAATCTATTTCATAATTGTAACAAATGACATAATGATAGCTAAACAACTGCAGTTTGGGGTTTATACTGTAAACTTAAAGTACAGGTTACTACTCAACATTTAAACAGAAACTGTTATTAATGATGTTACAAAGATGTTTGTACATTTCACCTTCAATTCTTTGATATATTTAAAGGGTTTGTTTACGTCTTCCTGTTTCCAAATAAAGTTTGTAGTTGATAGAAAGTAGTTCTGTTGATTATACAATGTAGAAAGTAGTTCTGTAAATGAAAGAAAGTAGTTCTATAGATGATATAATATCAATGGTGTTTCTTGTCAAATGCATAATCAAATTGCAAGATTAGCTGTAACAGTTACTTTATAAAATAACTTAAAATGTTTACTAGGAAATATCATAGGCCAAGGCATTATTGGCAGGTATGTAGTTTTTTCATTATGTGCATTTTTTTTAAAACTGTTAACATCTGATTAAATTCATTTCAGCACATTTTTTTTTTCAATAAATTTGTATTTATCTTTGAAAACTGGAATTGATTGTCTCAATAAGGTATAAATACTATAAGGACCTGGGATGTCACATGCTATTTCCATCTGATGCCACTGTTTAAAAACATTATTATAATATAAGCTCTCAGTCATTAACTGAAATTAAGTTACAACAAAATATTAGGTACATGATCATTGCCAGTCGATTTTAGACTGGAAGATGAATAAAGTTAAATATTCTAAAAATTTTAAAAGCTTTTTTTTAAATTTCTTGTTGTAAATTACTGAATTTTAATTTGATTGTTCATAAACCATTGCTGTTATTTTGTACATGTTAATACCCAAACACAAATAGTATATAGATAATGGGGCTAAAACAGAAATCACTTTATAATACTTACGATGTTTCTTTATGTATCTTTTAAACTGCTTCAGGTGTTTATTTCAAACTTGTATAGTATAATTTTTATTAATTATACAGTATGAAAATAGTATGAAGGGGCACTAGATGACAGGGTACAGTGCCCCTTTATATAATTATGCAAATTTTATGTATTAAGGCTTTTTGACCTCAGTGAATTTTATTTAATATCTTTTAACATTTCGGAAAATGCCCTGATTGTTTTTCTTCAAAATCTTTGATACCAACAGATATTTATCTATATCAGTGATAAAAAGAGGGGAGGTCCCTCAGAAGCACTGGAAAACTGAAGCTTAAAATATATATGAAGGTGCACAAGATGAAGTTTTTTTATTCTGTTATTACATGTTAACATAGGTTATTTTATTTGAGAAAATCAATGTTTTGAAATAAAGTTTACTCGAGTATTTCTGTAAGGGTAAAGGTGGTGATATTCATGTATATCAATCACTGCCATAGGTAAGCTCAGCAGGCCAAATTTCTCATTTCTGTTTCACATGTCCCCTTTTACTAATAGGAAATGTCATGGAATTTTAATGTATTTAAATATCTCAGAAACAAGTTTCAGTATTAACTAGAAACTTGAGATGTTTATGAAGGGTCTTTCTGGATAGGGTTATGTTATTGAAAAGAAATGTACATGCTGTTTCTGGTTTATCTAGTAACATTTACATCCAAACATGTTGTGACATACTCTTACAACTGTAGCAAGTTATATAGGCAAAGTTTCACAACTCTTTCATTAAAATTAATTATTCCCCTTGTTGTCCAGAAAATAAGATTTAAAGGGACTCCACTGAGGTTATTTGACATGACAGGATTTGAATGATTTTTCGAGATTAATGTTCCATTTGATGCAGACCTTTACCAAAAACTTACATGCAAAAATTCAGATCATTCACTCTCTCCGTTTTTCCAAAATAATTATTTTCATTGTGAAAAAGGACAAAAAAATGAAAAGTGTTGCAATGCTATTCACTCAAATCCTGTTAAGAACAGCACAAAATACAATTTTCAATTTATTTCTTAATAAATATTTCTTAATTATCTTTTGCACATATTTCTGTTTTAAGTGCCCCTGGAGCTGGTCTATATAAGAAATTAAAATTGAGTGTCAGTGGAGTTCCTTTAATATCTCTGACACCAGAACAGGTGTCACATGAAACCTAAATAATGTCATAAGCAAGCTCAGTGAGCCAAGTTTGACATCTAAATTTAATTTCCTGTTTTCGTTTGTTGCAAGATTTGACAATGTACTGAATGAAAATGATAAACAGCTGAAAAAACTGCTAGGGTCTGGAAACTGCTTGGAAACCAGTAACATAATCTTAAAACAATGTTGCAGCTGCTTGTCTATTGTGATAAATTATCCATTATATTAATATCAAAGATTCTCAAGATTTACAATTCTTTATGATTGAAAATGTTGAAATTTTTAATGAAGGGAATTTCAAGTTGAACATTTATAATTGAGCACCTTTAAGTCTCTATGATTTTAATTTTACAGGATGACTACAGACGAAATCCAAACCAAGATCAACAGTTACGCAGCCTGGCTGAGAACCATGGCAGACAAATGGAATATCTTAACTTAAGAAACAGGGATCTAGAAAAACAAAGAGAGGGTACATGGAATTTTAATTCATAAATATTTTCTTAATCTAAAAAATTATAATGTAAACAATAATATTTTTAAAAAGAAACTGAGTTTATCAGCATTTTTTGTTTTCATTAAAAATTAACGCTGATGAAAGTTTTATTTCTATTGAGTATTAGCACAGATTGAGGCTGTTTTTCACCATTTTCTGAATCTATTTTGATGAATTGTTGGATTTTACAGTTTCATGTGTCAGTGAACATTTTTCAAATATTGTCAGTTTTTTTTCTCAACAATTTTAAGTCTTTAGCTGTTAATTTTTTTGCAGTATCTGTCTTTCTATCTGTCCGTCCTTCTGTTCAAACTATGTGTCCAGTCCATCAGTTTGTTATTTTCAGATCGATTGCAAAATAATTTTGTATACATTTGTTGAACATTGAGCACAAGATCTAAGTCTGCAGCTCAAAGATTAAGATCACAGTCACACTTTAACCACAAAGGAAATTTTTCAGAAAAATGCATTGACATTTCTGTTCTGTCAACAATTCTGTCATTCCTGGCTGGATTTAAAAATATCTTTTCATAAATGTGCTGAATATAATAAATATGATGATGTGTCACATGCAATGATTCAGGTCCCTAGTTCAGAGGTCAATGTCTCAGTTTTTAGATCCAAAGTTATATGACTTTTTATAAAAGTGCTCTAATTTTTGAGTCCGGTCACCACAATTCTGTCAATTCTGTAACTGTTTTAGATCACCATAGTAGTATATTGGAATCAGGGGCTAAACAAGAATAAGACAGAAGGAATTAAAATACAAAATAGTATACTAAGCTGCTTTTTTATGTTTTTTGCAGACATAAGAAAACAATTGGAAAATCTAGGTCGTAAAACTGTTCCCCCACCACATGACAATACAGCAGAGTTATTGCGAGAATTAAGAGAACAGGAGATGAGAAACCAAAGAGCACTTGATGACCTCAGACGACAGTTACAGGATCTTCATGGAAACCAAAAAATTAATGTCATGTAAGTTTCATACATTATTGAAGTCTAAAGAAAAACAAATAAATGTATCTAAATCAGTTATGGTCTATTATTTCGTGGTGGGTCTTTTTGATTTTTCCCTTGAATTATTGTTACTCTGTTAGAATACCAGGTATATTAGAAACCTTAACTTTGTGTCATCAGGAATCTTTTTTGTTGAAACATGAAAAAGAGGTTTAATGCATAACAATAAGAACTGTATCTTAGCAATATTTTCAATTGTCTGTTGGGTAAATGCTGTTAAATTTTTATTAATTTTTTCGTGACACAAGGATACCCATTACTGTACCTTCTTTAACTAACTTTTATTCAAAAGTTTTCTTTATTCTTTGTTTAGGGTATACCCTGCTTTTAAAAAGCTGCTATTGAAATTTTGTTAAGATACTATAAAACATTAAATGCAAACTGAAAACATTAAATGCAAACTGCAGTTGAGCTTGTCACTTACTTATTGGTTTATCTCCTTTCTTTAGACAAATCTAAATAATATATATTGTATTTGGTCTTATGCATGATGTTAAAAGGAAAAATGCTTAAAACTTTCATTAGTTTATCTTTTATTTTCTCTTTATCTACAGATGTTTTAATAGAAATCTTATAATCTTAACCATTTTGTAATCAATTAAACATTTTTGTAAAGAAGATTATCTGTTCAGTACTATTTAACAAGGATGTTACATTTGGGCCGCGTCATGGTCGCAAATGCACTATGTTGGTTTTGTCATGACATGGCTCATTTATTCTTGGCCTAGGGACATAGAGCTTCTCTCCAGAAATATGAACAGGTCTGTGAACATGATAGATAAACTTGAACTAAATATTCAAGAACTTCTTAAAGTCTGTGACACTCTTGAAATTGAAAAAGACTCATTGAAAAAAGAAAAGAATTTAAGTTTTGAGGAAGCCAGACATACAAAAGAGTATCATGAAGATGCTGCAAATGGTAACAATATAGCTGAAGGTGTGTTAGCAAACAAACATAAAGAATGGAGAAAGATTAAAGGTCAAAGTTCAGGTCAAGGGTCAGATCATGAGAATGGAGATTATTCAAACAAAATGGTTTCTATAGAAGGGGGCATAAAAGATCAACCAAGTGAAATAAATGTGAAAGGATTGCTTGATAATCCTCTGATTGACAAGGAGAATATGATGAAAGTCAAAGTTATTAACATGCTGGAAGCAAATCAACATAAACAACCTGAAAGTCTTGCTAGTACATATCCTAGGTGGTTCAATTTACTTGACTGTTGTTAGTTGTTCCTTATCATTTTTTGCTTTACTTCATTAGTTTAACCTAGTTTATTTAGTTTTAAGCTGGACTATTCGAAGAATAGGGAGAGTATTGTATTGGTATCAGGGTCAGACTTTGGTGCAAATTGGTGTCATACTTCACTAACTTATTTGAGAGCATAGTAGGTCACTGTGCAAGATTTATAAGTTTAACTGGATTTTTACAGTATTATGGCCCTTTTTTAACTGAGAACATTCTGCATTTTCCAGGCTCTTGTTTTACTATCAAGCTGACTGAGAATAGTCTAGCACACTGTCCATTACTGACAACTCTTATTACTTTTTTGGTTTTAATTTTGTTTGTGATTTTTTTATCTTTTTTTATTGATTTCTTGATATTTTTCTTTCTTTTTCACATTGACATACTTAATACTTATATAATAGTACATTGTATGAGAATGCCAGTCTTTGTTTCTCAACTTTGATTTTCTTGAAACATTTTGGCTCAACAGGAGGTATGCAGCTTTAAAGATAAAAAAGAAAATCACACATATTCTTTATTAGTTTCAATTTTAATAGTCTTAAGCAGAAATAATAATATTGTAAATAATATAATTATGAAAAAATATTATTTGATATCCATTACAATTTTGGCCAAACAAAACATACATGTATATGTTCCAAACAATCATATTTTGTTTTGAACAATGGAATCTTGTGTAGAAAATAATATGAGCCGCGTCACGACAAAACCCAAGGTGATGCGTTTGCGACCAGCATGGATCCAGACCAGCCTGCGCATCCGCGCAGTCTGATCAGGATTCATGCTGTTCGCTTACAAACCCTATTACAAGTAGAGAAACTGATAGTGAACAGCATGGATCCTGATCAGACTGCGTGGATGCACATTACGTTGGTTTTGTCGTGACGCGGCTTAATTATACATTGTATCTGATATACATTATTTTCCATGCATTAGAAATGGTTTTACACTTTCAGTACTAAAATACCTTTTAAACAAAGCAACAACAACAACAACAAAAATCAATTATCTGTTTTCTAGAGATATAATAAGAAAAACATAATGATGTTTAATGTAAACATATTACCAGTATAACAAACCATTTATGTTATACTATTGATATATTTGTGAAAATAACTTACATGTATGTAACGAAAAGTAATACAAATGCAGTTCTGCTAAAGAAAGCAATGATATTTTTCTGTAACTTTGAAGAAAAGCACAATAATATAAGTACATGTATTTTAGTTTCTTGTTAGCAGATATCAATAATTTATTGCTTGTTAGCTTACATTAATAATTTGATTGTTGCTCATGTTTACAGTGAAATAGAGAAGCCTGTGTACCAGCAACCACCTCCGCCACCCCCACCACAACCAGAACCACCAAAGAGATCACTTGTATTTCCAGTTTATTACGGAAAATCTCTGGTAGCAGAAATCAGGTAAAATCCTTTTCAAGATTTGATACTGACTGAAAATGAATGTTGAAAATAGTGCACAACTGATAACCTGGCTTGCCATAGGTCAGGCATTTTCTGTCACTTGATTCTTACTGAGTATCAGTTACACAAACAAATTAAAAACTTTGATTATATTGTAGTGTAATGAAGTTTCTATCTGGGCAGATACCTGTCTGAGTTATTGTCCAGGTAAAGTTTGTGTATAACTTGAGTATACTGCTGTTAATTCTGAAGTGTAAGCAATATTGGGGAAACTGTTCCATTATTAAACAACCTCTTATCATTGAGGAACTAAAGTTTCGTAAGAAATGAGTGCTTCAGTTCTCCTAGACAAACATCACAGGCTGACGAAGGCAAGCAATATCTGTTATGTGTTATTTATCATTTTTGATAACAATCTACATATATGGATGCTAGCAGCATTGTTTCTCCGTCTCTGAATCAAGGATAATATATAGTTATGTAAAGCCTCTGTAGGCTGATCTTCTTCCTCCTTACACTGTCCTAGAAGATTGAGCGCTGTCTCTCGATGTCCAAGGTTTGACTCCTTCCTAATGGTGTCTTCAAGATTAGAAAGTGCTCTTTGTTTGTCTTCAACTTTTCCTAGTTTTTTGTAGGTCTTATACTGTAGGAAGTAAAGGAAAGGGAGAGAATCTACCACAGCAGAATCCATCCAGTGGTCTTCTTTTTGCCTGCTACTCATGTCTTCTTTAGTTGATCTAAACATTTCATACTTTATTTCATTTGGAGCACAGTTTATTTCATTTTTAAAAAATCTGACACATAATGCAACGATAGTCTGTATAGCTTCTACACCATGTCTAAATGATACATCATCAAATTTGGTTCTTGGTGGTTTACACACAAAGCTATAACAAGAACAGATCCCCTGAACAGAATCTAAGTCATAATCCTTCTCAGTACCTAAGAGAATACTTTCTGCATTGTTATAATCTCCTGTACAGTAAAACACAGATGCCAGCTTTAGTTTACTAGATGCAACATCTGTGTTTAGACTTGCTGAGATCCAACCTAGTGCATTCTGTGATACAGCTCTTTGTTCTTGAATGCTTAATGATGCCAAAGCAGATCCAAGAAATTCAGAGAACTTGGCTGCAAGAAGGCCACAAGCTTTTTTTTCAAGTGCTTGATTGTGGTCATTAACTAATGATGAGATGTACTTTGACAAGATTTGGATGATTTCTTTACACGACCTGTTTCTCTGTGCTATGAGGAAAGGCCATGTGCTGACATCAATGAATCTTGCAGTTGTTGTTGTTAAGTATCCTGAAATGATCTCATTCAATGTTGGTATGTAATCCATAGGAAGAATCTTCATCTTTATCTGCAACTTTACACCAAAACCATCACATTCTATTTTTAGCAATTCTTTTCCATTACTCTTGATGATAGATTTTAAATTCTTCAGTAAGTTAGGTTTGATTTCAGCCAAAATTTTTCCTTTCATTAAATTGTTTACTGGTGAAATGAAATGTGGACATTTTTCACTTTGAATACAAGTGTACAGTACAAATAAACATTTAGTGAGACAAATCAGTAAGTTTCTTTCATTCCAAACATCAGAGTGCACATTTTCAGTATTTGCAATACAATGAAACAGGATAGTTTTACACATGTAGCTTGAAATTATGTCTCCAAATTGAGGTTTGATGAAGGTGTTCAGTATAAACTTCATCAAAACATAGCATCTAATCTGTGTGATATTGAGATTGAACATTAAGCACCTTTCTGCAAGAGATGTTGATATTCTCCACTCTAGTGCTTCAGTCTCACTATCCTTCCTTCCAACACCAACAACAAAACAAATAGTTCTGCTACAATAATTCCTCATGTCATGTGTTGGCCATCGACCTTCCTTGTTCAGCCACTGTCTTGCCTGACTAGGCCATGTTTTTAGGGGGAAAGCGTGGACAACATCCTTCTCAAGAAATCCTTTCATATGTACTGAATACGCAGGACCATGTCTGTTGCCAGAAAGACCATGCAAGCTTTTTGCCAATCTATACAATAAGTTATTCTTCATCAATACTTTGCCTGTTTTACCCATTTTTACAAAGTGTTCATTAGGAACATTACTGCATGGCACTGGTGCATTATCTTCAAAACATTGTAGCTTACAGTAACCTTGTTCTTCCTCTTCATCCTGTATCATTAACAGGTTGTGTACACCAGGTTGCCAGTCCTTCAAGTCTTCAATCACGTGAAAGTCATTCATACAGATAAGTTGATCAACATCAGAATTGATCCCTCGAGTTGTTGTTCCCTCAGACTGGCTGCCCAGGAAGTAAACATATGTATTATTTCCAAACAGTTGTCTTGACTTTGTATCCATACACTCATTCAGTAACCATGCTTGCCTTCTCTTTAACACGATTCTTTCATTTACTCCTATGTCTGAAAGAACCTGTGACATCATCAGTGAAAACTCCTCTGTGTGGCTTTCTTTTTTAAACATCCTGAAATAGATAAAACAAAAAGTTAAATGTTAGGGTCAAAAAAGGAAATAAGTGTATCCCTGCTAATTTAAACCCTTTCCATCCAAATCCTTTTTAAATACTTTGGCAATAATTGCTTTTCTTGTTTGTATTTTAAACATACATGCCATATTTCAAGCCACCCAGATAGGGGGATTTGGCTTTAAAAAGCAGGGGATGCCAAACTATGCAAAAATAAAATTATATTTCCCCCATTTAATTATCAAAATGAGCACTTTATATTTCTCTATCCAGTCAGTATATATTTTGAAATTGTTTGAATAAATTTTGTCCAGAAGTCCATTTGAGTGGTACTGGCATGCAAGCAGTTCCCATATATAAGCAGTACCCATATTAATAGTTTAAAAGCTTGATTTTTACTTGCATTGTTTAAAATTGATTATTAAATCATGCAGACATGTGAACAAGATAAAAATCTAAGTGTCAGTTCAGCAGTAGGTAAAAAAGATTTCATTTTAAATCATGTTCACCACTATTTCATGAAATTTTAGTAAATGATGCAAAATTATATTTAGAAGTTTATGGTAAACTCTGAAATGAGTATATAATTGATTTGAAGGAAAAAAATGATGGATAAAGCAATTTGAACTGCATGGTAACAACGAAACTTCATAAGAATTGTGTTTGCTGTAACTTTGGTTTGACAAAATAGTTGTGCAAGCAACATATACTGAATAGTGGAGCATGTTAATACATATACCTGGTTTTCAGTCCTTTCCAACAAAAATAGTAATAAATACCAATATGGCATTTTATTTCCATTTTGTTGGATACAATGCAGTTCTGATTCCCAGCCCTGATGATTGTGTCAGAAAAAAATAAATACCAAATAAACTATATGTATCATACTAGCAGTGGCTATACCTGTTACATTTTCTGATTCTTTAATAGTGTGAAACCATATGTTTTAATATTTTAATAGACAGAAACTTCAAGGCAATTCACTTTTCAAAAAAGAAGGATTGAATATAACACAAATTTTCACACAAAAATAATATAATGAAAATTACTATACTTGGACCAATCTCTGCTCCCTGAGGATCACATAAAGACATATGATATAGGCAAGGTGATTGTATAATCTTTTTTAAATTCCAACATTTCTTTTGGTACAGATGATTTCAATTTAAACTAACATCCCTGTTGTTTACATTATTATCCATAGATCACCAGTATATAAAATAAAAGATTGTATGTTCCATAGCATCCTTATTGCACTGCTAATTTTTTTGTACTATTAAATCTATAATTTGTGAACGCCTCCGATCATTTTTAAATTTCCTACTTTTGATTTATCATTTTTAATTTTCCTGCTTTTGATTTAAAGAAGGAAGTATTTTAAATCTAGACTATATTAAGTTATGGAGAGCTTTCACACTCACTTTGGTTTCAGCATCTCTAGTTATCGTGCCTCTACTTAATAAGTGGGAATATACTGTGATTGGGTCGGTCTGTATGTCTGTTTAATGTTTTAATTAAGTAGACAACACTGGCCTACAGTTTTAACATTGGGGTGGAGGTGACTCACAACTTGTAGATGACCCCTTAAGATTTTGAGGTTAAAAGGGCAAAGGTCATGGTCACCTTACCGTTGAACACTAAAAGTTGGTCCAACCAATAAGTAGAGAACAATTTGGTGTTCAGTCCTAAGATTTGGTATGGAACTTATTTAGTCATGACAAGTAGATGACCCCTACTAATTTTTAGATTAAAATGAATGTCAAAGATCAAGGTCGTCATGGCCTTGACCACAAAAAGCTTGTCCAACAAAAAGCTTGTCCGATCTACAACTAGATAATGCTATAGCCCTAATATTAAGTGTCAACATGACCAGTAGATGACCGGTTTAGATTTTGTGCTAAAGGCCAAGGTCATCATTATGTAAATTAAAAAACAACAAGAACAAATTATTATTTTTACCTCCGTTAATAATGGCTCAAACTAAAACATTTATTTTTTGTGTGTATTCTTTCAGTGCAATTAGGCAAGCCTATTTACAGAATGGAGGTAATGATCCAGATGTCTTGGCACAGATGTCACAAATGCAAGCTGAGGCCCAGGCCATAGAAGACCAAATGAACCAAAAACCAGAACATAAATCACCACGTGGTAAGTAACCCACTTATTACTGCTAAATGCTCAGATGCCTTCTGTTAAGCATGTCCAAGCAAAAGAAGTTAAGTATGTATAAGCCATAGAAGTAAATATATTTTACGGTAAAAACTCTTGATATGACAGGAAAAAAAGAAAATGTTTTAACTTAATGCTAGCTGGATAGTCTTTAAAGCTATAATAGCTGAATATTGCATCTCAAACGTTAGCTCTTTTAGTTTTCTGAAAATTCTTAAGTTTGGTTCCTTGTTTTTGTGCTGTGAGGAAAAAGTGATTTAAAGTCATTTACTTCAATTACTCAGCCATAAAATAAACAAATAGCTCATTAATTTGATGTTTGAAGTAATTTTGGTATTTTTTGTTACTTTAAGAAAAACCAAGAGATAATGATGCAACATTTAGGATGCTTGAGATGGAAAATGACAGATTAAACCAACAGTTACGTCTGCTACAAGAACAAAATCTGCTTGCACAGAATAGGAACAAATCAGATAAAGAAGGTAAAGAAGTGCACTTGTATATTTCTGTTCCAAAATCGGTTTTTGATAAAAGACATCATAAAAAACGTAAGATAAGAAAAAACAGTGTACCAAAACAAATTATAAGTGAACAGCATACAGTTGATATAATACAGCCAGTTCAGGCTATACAGCCTTACAGTTATGCTCCCCAACAGCCTTATTTTACAGTTTACAATTTTCCACAAGAACAGCCAACTTTGTACAGCTTTCCTCAGCCCCAACAGCCCCAACAACATATAACCGATACATACCAATCTATTCAGCCGTCACAATTTATAACTTACGATGTACCAAAAATACAATCTGATGCCAGAAGTTACCATTCAGAACCAAACAGAAGATCTGATGAAAGAATTGTGAAGTATACAGCATCTCATCAGCCAGATGGAACTGTACATATTGTTAGATCAAATAGCTATGGGCATATAGGTCTCAGACATAAGCCTAAAGTTCCACCGCTTGACCTTAGGGATCTGATTACTCCCACTGGCAATAGAAACAAAAAAGGACACAAAGGTAATGGTGAAAATGAAATGGACCCTTTCACAGGAAAACCAGGAAAATATAAGACTCGCCCCTTCACAACAAAACTCAGCCATGTTTCAGAAGGTGCTGAGCAAGGTGTAAATTCACGTATTGATGACATGGCTGATATTTTACCACCAATCAATGCACAGGAGCAAGGGTCAAGGTCAGGGTCAAGGCTAAGACCATTGTCAAGGTCAGGAGAGGAGGACTTGCCTAACGATGACATTACAGACACAGAAAATAGACCAGGCTCTAACCAGACAATTGTCTCACAGAGGAGTGAGAATGATAGCCCTGAAGGTTATGAGGAAACAGCTATTGAAGATGAAACCCCTGATGTTGCATGGCAAGTGAGGAGGTCAAGTCCTCCAAAATACAACACATATGATTACCAGTACTAAATGGTTTGGTTATGACTACAAGTCTATCTATCATAAAAGATACTCACTGTATCAAATACTCAAATATGACATGAAATTATAGAGGTTTTCTTTATTGTCCTGTGTATATACTCTAATTCAACAATTAAGTTGTTATAATCTATTTAATGAATGTATCATTATTTAGATTCAAATGCATTGAATGAAAACATTTCATAGCTAAATTATTGCATTTACAGCTTTATTCCTCAACAAAGGTACTTTATTCTGTCCTATATATTTTTACCTCAGAGCTTTATAGTTACTGGTAAATTGGGTTGGCAAAGTTATCTTAGATAGATCTTCCATACTTTGCCCAAATAAAAATAAATCTATTGTCATTGCCCAATTGAAATATAAAATTAGTTTTTAGCTCGACTTTTCTATGAAAAGGGGAGCTATCCTACTCGCCCCGGCGTCGGCGTCAGCGTCGGCGTTGGCGTCACACCTTGGTTAAGTTTTTCGTACCACCCCACTTTATTTCAGAAGTATTACAAGTATGGCTTTGAAACTTACCATACTTGTTCACCATCATAACCTCCATCTACAGACAAGAGTACATAACTCTGTCAAGGTTTTTGACAGAATTATGGCCCTTTTTTGACTTAGAAAGTGTATTGAGCTTGGTTAAGTTTTTTGTACCACCTCACTTTATTTCAAAACCATTGGAGGTATTGCTTTGAAACTGACCATACTTGTTTACCATCACGACCTTCATCAACAGACAAGAGGACATAACTCTGTCAAGGTTTTTGACAGAATTATGCCCCTTTTTGACTTAGAAAATACATTGAATATGGGTAAAATCCACTTATTGCCCTTAACCCTTTGAGATATTGCTTTGAAACTTTTAATGCTATTTCACATCATTACCCCCATCTGTACGCAAGAGAAGGTAACTCTGTCAAGGATTTGTTTTAAAAATTAAGGCCTTTTATCGACTTAGAATCTTGGTTAAGTTTTTAGTACCAGTCCACTTTTTGACTGAACTGTTTGAGATATTAATTTGAAAGTTGGAATACTTGTTTACAATCATGATTCCAAAACATGTCCAGGAGAAGGTAATTCTGTCAAAGATTTTATTTGAATTATGGCCCTTAACTGTCAATGTTTTGTATTATAGGCAAGCACTAAAAAACTTAAAAAATCTAAAAAAATTCATTCCTATCCACTTGTTCACTTTACCATAAATTATGTCATATAAACATTGCTGTAATATTCAAGGGTATCAAACAACTAGTTATTTTTCTCTTTTTGTACTTGAAATTAAAATCAGTAGTATAATACTATTAAATTTATTTAAGGCTCAACTCAGTTTTTTTTTCTTTCTTACCAGCCCTCTTTTGACTTAAACATTTCAAACTTTGCTGCAGTGTTCAAGGGTATCACACAATTCAGTAAAATAATTCTTCACTAAATATCTTAATGCTCATGGCCATTGTTCACTTTAAAAATACAGAGATTCTTGTATTGCCTTTTACTGCAAAAACTTTTTTTATTGGCAAGCAATAAAAAAGTCGAGCGCGCTGTCTTACGGACAGCTCTTGTTTAGTTTTTAAATTCACCTTTACATGTATATTAATATTTAGTTTGATTAAGTTTGTGATTGAAGAATTTTGTACATTAATCACAGATGTGAATTCTGGTAAAAAAAACAAAGAGGTTTTACCAAATCTTATTAATGGTTCTATTTTATCCTCATTTGCTGTTTTATTAATTTTTTTTAATTATTTTATGTGTATTTTGTTTTTGCATTTTTTTCTTAATCTGTAACTTGTTGTTGCAAATTGTTATAGATAATGTTGTAGCCTACCTGGCACTGGTAATACTAGAGTGAACAAATTAAGGTCATGCACTGTAAGGTGTGTATCGGGCCTGTCATACTGATATTACTTTATCGCTGTTGATTTAGCTTGGCAGGGATTTTCAATGCACGAAGCCTTAGCAGATTTGTTCAAATAATTTAATTACATTTAGAACCTTGATTGCTATGGCAATAGTAAAAAATTTATGAGTTTACGTTTTATACATTATGAGCTTAAACATTTGGCATGTGAATACTTTATAGACCTCTTACAAAGTATGGTTCTTTGTGTATTCTTTTGTCACATTTTTACAAAGCTTACATAGGGAGTATATAAATAAATCCCTTAAATGGCAAAGATTAGAGCCTACATATGTCTAATCCTTACTGAGTAAATTCATACCTGAACATATTCACATTTTAACCCAGGGGTAAAAATTGAGCCTGCCAGTGAGTTACTTGTTTTAAGAATTTCTACTGATTCACTGAAAGAATAGGAGATAATTGATAAAAAGGTAATATACTTTTAAGAGATAGTATGAAAAATCTTTTATTAGAAACCACAAAGCATAGTGTTTAATAATTGTTGAATAACATGACCTTGACATCTGTTAACCTTTTCCCTCATAAACGTGTTATGATGGCTTTTTGTCCCCCCCCCCCTTTTTGAGGCCTCAAACAGTGAAAAAATGACCAATTTAGGCCCCAAACACTGTTTTCCATTTAAGAAATGTTGTTAAAAAAAGTGATCACTTTTTTGGCGCGGCCCCCATCAAAACGATACATCAAGGGGTTGCCAGAAGGGGGATACGCGGGATTTAAAGGTTTACAGTCCCTCTTATTGCCAAGAAAATTTTGGACATTTGACAGGCTAAAAATGGCCTCAAGTAGATCTTAAGGTAACGTGTAACCAACGCTGAAAAGCCTTTTACTCTATCTCAATGCATTGAGAAGTTGCAGCACTTTGAAATCAGTTTTGATGGAAATAAACAATGAAAAATAGTGATTTTTCGCAATTTTGAGTCTTCCTCCCATTGCCATGGTAACAGGAAATTTGAGATTTAGCATGCTGTTACAGAGGTTATGGTCCAGTCAACATTTATGCCAAGTTGCATTAGTATTGAAGCATTTTTCATGGTTTCATAGCAGTTTGAACTTGTAACAGGAGGATTTTCAATGAAAACGGTCATTTTTAGCTCGACTATTCGATAAGAATAAGTAGAGCTATTGCAGTCACCCGAGCGTCGGCGTCCGCGTCGGAGTCAGCGTAACCACTTATTAGCTCGACTATTCGATATGAATAAGTAGAGCTATTGCAGTCACCCGAGCGTCGGCGTCCGCGTCCGCGTCGGCGTAACCACTTATGTTAAAGTTTTTGTAATAGTTCAAATATTTTCAAAGTCCATAGACATATGGCTTTGAAACTTTGCACACTTGTTCACCATCATGACCCCAACCTGTAGACAGGAGGAGGTAACTCTATCAAGCATTTTGACAGAATTTTGCCCCTTTTTCGACTTAGAATTTACGTTAAAGTTTTTGTAATAGTTCAAATATTTTCAAAGTCCATTGACATATGGCTTTGAAACTTTACACACTTGTTCACCATCATGGCCCCAACCTGGAAACAGGAGGAGGTAACTCTATCAAGCATTTTGACAGAATTATGCCCCTTTTTCAACTTAGAATTTACGTTAAAGTTTTTGTAATAGTTCAAATATTTTCAAAGTCCATTGACATATGGCTTTGAAACTTTGCACACTTGTTCCCAATCATGACCCCAACCTGTAAACAGGAGGAGGTAACTCTATCAAGCATTTTTTTTACTATCAAGCACTAAGAATAGTCGAGCGTTGCTGTCCTACCGACAGCTCTTGTGTTAAAGTTTTTGTAATAGTTCAAATATTTTCAAAGTCCATTGACATATGGCTTTGAAACTTTGCACACTTGTTCACCATCATGACCCCAACCTGTAGAAAGGAGAAGGTAACTCTATCAAGCATTTTGACAGAATTATGCCCCTTTTTCGACTTAGAATTTACGTTAAAGTTTTTGTAATAGTTCAAATATTTTCAAAGTCCATAGACATATGGCTTTGAAACTTTGCACACTTGTTCACCATCATGACCCCAACCTGTAGACAGGAGGAGGTAACGCTATCAAGCATTTTGACAGAATTATGCCCCTTTTTTGACTTAGAATTTACGTTAAAGTTTTTGATATAGTTCAAATATTTTCAAAGTCCATTGACATATGGCTTTGAAACTTTGCACACTTGTTCAACATCATGACCCCAACCTGTAAACAGGAGGAGGTAACTCTATCAAGCATTTTGACAGAATTATGCCCCTTTTTCGACTTAGAATTTACGTTAAAGTTTTTGTAATAGTTCAAATATTTTCAAAGTCCATTGACATATGGCTTTGAAACTTTGCACACTTGTTCAACATCATGACCCCAACCTGTAAACAGGAGGAGGTAACTCTATCAAGCATTTTGACAGAATTATGCCCCTTTTTCGACTTAGAATTTATGTTAAAGTTTTTGTAATAGTTCAAATATTTTCAAAGTCCATTGACATATGGTTTGAAACTTTGCACACTTGTTCACCATCATGACCCAAACCTGTAGACAGGAGGAGGTAACGCTATCAAGCATTTTGACAGAATTATGCCCCTTTTTCGACTTAGAATTTACGTTAAAGTTTTTGTAATAGTTCAAATATTTTCAAAGTCCATTGACATATGGCTTTGAAACTTTGCACACTTGTTCAACATCATGACCCCAACCTGTAAACAGGAGGAGGTAACTCTATCAAGCATTTTGACAGAATTATGCCCCTTTTTCGACTTAGAATTTACGTTAAAGTTTTTGTAATAGTTCAAATATTTTCAAAGTCCATTGACATATGGTTTGAAACTTTGCACACTTGTTCACCATCATGACCCCAACCTGTAAACAGGAGGAGGTAACTGTATCAAGCATTTTTTTTACTATCAGGCACTAAGAATAGTCGAGCGTTGCTGTCCTACTGACAGCTCTTGTTCACAATCTGCTCATGTGGTAAAAGGTTAATGATGATTGGTCCCAGAAAATTTCAAAATAATTTGCCACAAACCACAACACCTAGAGTTACATATATGATTTGTAGATATGCCAGGTGGTTAAAATTGGTTGCGCACCCAAAGTGGTCACTTTCCTTGCTAAATGTTCTTGTTGCCATAGAGCATTTGGGTTAAATATTTTGTATGCAGGAATTTTGCATAAAACTCTCTAATTTAAGGTCAGTTAAAACAAGGTTAAGATCAGCAAGGCTAAAAAATAGGTTTTTCTACTTAAAGTGGTAGAGGTTTGCTTGAAATATCGTTATCAAAGATTGTACAGTCCTCAGCCAAGTGAGCAATATAAGGGCTACAATAAGGACACTGTATACATGCATTTGAATATCATTGCTGGTTAACTATTTGCTATTCATCTAATTAGACAGTCACTTTTCAACCAGATCAATTTCATTGCATCAAATTAAAAATAGGAAAATAAGAAAAAATAAAAAAATTGATTTGTCTGTTGATATAAATGTGTGAAAAGCATGAGTTTTATTTGGATTATATTTTAAGTAGTGCATGATATGTATATATTTACAGTAAGCAAAGATAAAAACTTGTAGTGCAATATCCTTGGCTTTCTCTGATACTATTATAGGTGCTAGTTTATTATTATTATTTTTCTGCATCCCAAATAGTTATTTATTAAAAATGGAAATGCTGTATTTATGTATGTGTTTGTATGAATTATGGCTGATAATATCATTATAACCATAGTTTTATGATTGATACTGTATATGCTTTACTTCATACAAACATGTAGTTGTAAGTTTACCTATGATTTTATTACTACGTCTTTTAAGATCTTTCTAATTGTCTTTTGAATTTTACATGATAAAGTATAAGATTGATGCATTGAAATTATAGTGTTCAAATTAAAAAAAACAGCAACAACAAAATAGTGTTGATAATTTTAATGTAAGTGACAATAATGTCTGATCTGTGCCAGTGACTTGTATAGTTTCCTATACCACTAATATAGAGACAGTCCAATCTGCATAATTTTACAGTGATTTACCATGTGCAGTGCTCCTAAATTAAAAAAGCTGTCGGAAAAAACTTTAATGGTTAACAAATTATTGAAAGACAAACTTAAGCCACGTCACAACAAAACCAACATAATGCGTTTGCGACCAGCATGGATCCAGACCAGCTGACCTGATCAGGCTGGTCTGGATCCATGCTGGTCGCAAACCCATTATGTTGGTTTTGTCGTGATGCGGCTCATTTGTTTTACAAGGAAGTTTAAAACTAGGAAAATATATTTATATTAAATGTTGTTTACTGATCTCAGTTCTTGTTTTTCAGCTCACTGCAGTGGAGTTTTCAATTGTTTATAGTCATTCTTTAGTGTTTTAACCTTTACTTTACCACACACCATCCCACCTGTATTATTACATCACCATATCCCCAAATTTCACTGCCATATAACTGCAAACCTTTTAACATGAGAATTTCTTATACAAGTGGCTTTGGATTAATTTTTGAACAATTTAAGTGTTTTCAACAGTTATTAACATTTTCTTTTTGCAAAGAATAATGCAAGAAACCATTATGAGCATAAAGTAGTCTTCAGGTGAATTTGTATGTTTATAAAAACATTTAATCACAATGAATTTTCAATCATTCATGCTTAAATGATTTTTTTTGATTTTTTGTGTTGATACTGTAAAAAATATAATAATTTAACAAATTTCCTTAATTCTTTTTGTGTAATATAGAAAGTATGGTATAGAACGTTAAGCAATTGCACATCAATAATAAAACTTAGTTATTGTAATTGTCTATCTTGGTTTCAACAAAATTACCTAATTAAGTGAGATATTCAAACTTAAAAGTACATTTTGAAACTTATCTTTGAAGGAGTTCACATTTAAATACTATACCAATGTCTTCTTTATAAAAATCTAACAAGTTCTCTCTCACTCCCTGTGATAATATTTCTGTTATACTTGTATAATTCCCACTTTTGTTTACTTTCCCTATTTATTGAATGGTTTGAAAGTATAATTGAGCCGCGTCATGACAAAACCAACATAGTGCGTTTGCAACCAGCATGGATCCAGACCATCCTGCGCCTCCGCGCAGTCTGATCAGGATCCATGCTGTTCGCTATCAGTTTCTCTACTTGTAATAGAGTTGGTAAGGGAACAGCATGGATCCTGATCAGACTGAGCGGATGCGCAGGCTAGTCTGGATCCATGACGGTCGCAAACCCATTATGTTGGTTTTGTCATGACGCAGCTCATATTTAGATCTCTAGACTCTGTCTATTAAAACATTATTCTATAACTTTAAGTACACTGCTGGTTTTTCTATATAAGAATAATAAAATTAACTTAATGTTAACAAAACACAAAAATAGAGACATGAACATTAATACAGAACATTTGTTTATCTCCCTGCAGATGAGCTGGAAAGGGAACTAAGACGTCTACAACGTGAACATTTGGAGAAAATGTACGGCTTACAGAAAGAGCTTGATGATTTACGAGTATTGCTAATGATGCAGCGTAACCAGCCGCCACCCCCAACACAACCAAACACAATAATCCATCAAGCCCCACAACCTCAGTTCAACCTGGTAATAATTTTGATATTTCTGTCACATCAACATGTATATTAAATTATCTTTAATTTGTAAAAAAAAAGACTCCTTTAAATAAATTTCATTGATTTAAGATTATATTGTTGATAATAGTAATTAACCTGAAAGTACTGGAAATGTTGCTAAATTTGACAGTTGATACTGATTTTCATAAAAAAACTAAAAATTGTCTCTTTTTTAAATAAAAGGGGATTAAAAGTTTTCTAATAAAAGGGAATTAAAAGTTTTGTTACAATCAAAGTAGATGTGAAAATAATATGATCATTATGATAATAATGATGATGCTATATTTAAAAATGTTTTATGATGATGATGATGATGTTGTTAATGATGATGATGATGTTGATGATGATGAAGATGATGATAACTTAGTAAAGGGCAAAAGGGTAACTGATAATGATAAACATGATTATCAGTTTAATAATACTGATGATAATGGAAAATAATAATAATGATGATGATGCAATAATGATGGTGGTGATGATAATGATGATGCAATAATGATAATGATGATGATATGATGATAAATGAGGAGAGAGGCGACTGTCATGAAGGTATATCACATCACTATACTAATTCACATGTGTGATAGTGCATAGTATATTATGTCACAATAGATTTTAACCAATCAAGTGTGCCTTTGTATATGTAATGTTTTCACTAAGCTATTCACTCATTTGGTTAGTGCAGTATAGACTTGTGCAATATTTTTTTAATTGCTCACACTGTAGGCTATGTTATTACATGTACTCTACAATTTTGTAAACTAGACTATGTTTAATACACATTCAGATTGTAGAATATGTTGCAACATTTTACAATGTCTAAAATTACCAATATTATGTCATGGCAGTAATGTTATATAGTTTCCATCATGGATCTTGCCATGCCAGTGATATTTCTGTAGTTTCTATTGTGGATCATGCATTGCTTCTTACAAATGTTGATCATATCATTGTGATAAAGCCCTGCTTTCTATGTTGATTAGCTTAAGAGTAGTTTGATTCCCCATTAACACACCTTAAATCCATATATAGTAGGAGTGTCACGGTTAGAAAAAATGCTAAGTTTTTAAATGGCAACATAATAACGTTATTAAACATTTAACTGACCGTACTAATAGATCCTTAAATTTTCAACGTTAACTTTGTATCTTTATGACAAGATATGCCATTTTGTTCATACTTAGTTGTACTCAAAATGAATACAATACATATCCGAATATGGAGTAACTATCAGATTGGAAAAAATACATTGAGTACATTGAGTACAACTAAAATACAAACAATTGTCATATATAGTCATAAAAAACTAAGGTTGTATTTTAGAATCAATTTAAAACTTTTCCGCCCTTTAGTCAAATACTAACGGTTACCGGTTATTGAATTTTCTAACCGGTTTTCAGCTAAAAACTGAAAGGATAAACGTGATGCCCTTAATATATAGTTCACATAGCTAGGTATTTGTGCTGTATCATATTACATATTGCATATTTAATAACACTTCTTACAATGCATAAGAGGTAGCTTTGATATGTGCCAGAATTTACTTAACATTATAATTATGTTTGATATGTAATATCCATACACTTTGTCTTGCTATTCTTGCCTTTCCTTAACATGAAAGTGTGGGTGTATGCATCAGTCAGTTGTTACCTTTATCAATCTATCCCAGCAGCAGTACTGAACTGAATATAGCAGTTCAATTTTTACTCACATTGCAAAAACTCTCAGTGTGGTGGCATTCTGACTGTCTCTGCTAAACTGGGGTTAACTGTCATCCAAAAGTCAAAATTGTTGCTTTTTCACAATGGTGTGGAGTTTTAGATATACTTGACTGGTACAAAACTAACACGTCACATGTTCCTTTCTTTATTTCTTAATTTTGCAATTAAAGAAGTATATGTGTATTCTTTTGCCCCATTTAGGACATGGAAAATATATACATGTATTTAAAAAATAGTACACATCACTGAGGGCCTAATAGTATTTATAGTGACCGGTCAGTCAGCACATAAACATTTAACAGACCGAGGCTGAAGGCTGAAGTTCATTCAATGTTTGGGCTGCCTAGGAGGTCACTATCATGCTTTAAATTACTACTATGACGTCATTCCTTTGTTCTGACCGTACTGTATTTTTAATACAGTACAGGTAGGTGTCCAATATTAATGTGTAAGTCCAATATTAATCGTGTAACACATTAATATTAGACAGCGTGCCGTGTCTTGAAAGAAGCTTGTATGACCACAGGGTTTTGTGAAAAATTCTCCAAATAAAAAAAAACACAAAAAAACCAAAAAACAAACAAACAAAAAAACCAACAAAAAACGATTAAGTTAAATGTAACTTCTTATCTCAGAAGTTAACACGAGGAATGATGCAATGTCTTTCCTTCGCCCATTACGCATTTTACGTAATTTTACGAAAAGAACAATAATTGATATCTGGCTCATTTAACGAATTATTATTCCAAGCCTTCTGATTTTCGATCTTCAAGCTCTTAACATCATATCACTGTTTACGCTTTCTAAGTGAAAGATAGCGGAGCGTCAGTTAGGATATGATTTTTATGGGATTGTTTAATTTCTTGTCTATTGTCCGTTTTTTTCTTTTTTAGATATACGTTTAGTTGACAATTATACTTGATTTGCTTTATTGTATGTACGTTATGTTTCAGTTAGGTCAACTTTTCAAATAAGGGTAATGGTCAGCTTTTCAAATAAACTGATAAATACAATAGAGAAAATAAATTCATCTATTTAAAACAAAAGCTGGTATGTTTGACATCTTATATAAAGAAACGATTCCAGACTCCTGTGGTATGACAAATATCAATATAAAAATAAGAAAATATCATTGTGTTGCGTTAATTTCCAAAATTTATACTAATGGCATTTCTTACACAACATTTTACATCCGTGATTGTTGTAGTAAAGTAAAAATATCATTTTAACACTAAATGGTCCGTATAAATCCTTCTTAAAAGTCATAGATTGTTTCAGTCAATCATTTAAAATATCCGAGATTCAACACAAATTTGGAAACATTTCATTTCAATTATTTCTTGTAAAAATCCCAAATGTAAATTGATGTATACTGTATGTGTGTAAGTCCCACATTTTGTGTAACTGGTATATTTTGTGTATATCATTGTGTTCATGTACATAATTGGTCATATTTCAAAACACGAAAATTTCATGCTACGGACATGTTGTTATTCAAGAGGCTACCTATAGGGTTTTTTAGGTAAGAAAAAGATAATTGCTTAAACCTTAATATTGTACATTTCTAGCACAAAAATACATTATTTCTAATTTTTCGATAGATAACATGATATTTGATAGTAAAAGTAGTAATTTAAGTAAGATATAAGCCTCAAACTGACTACGCGCCTCATGAAATTCAATATTTTACATATTGGACAGTTTTCGGCTTATATCTACTACATAAGGTCTGAAAAACTGTGTGATATTTCTTATATTATACCACACTTAAAAATGACTTTTCTAAAACATAATGGTAAAGTTGCAAATCACAAAATTTCTTGTAAAATTACAAATACATTTTGTCAGTCAGCTTATATTAATCACATTTTTGTGAAATAGTCCTTGCAGTTAAACACCAAAAAAGTTAAGCGGTCCAAATGTAATAGTGCTAGCTCAGATGGTCACTGTACTTTGTTTGTCGCAACGCTGACATCATCATGAATATTATACTATTTAAAGGCATGCTGACAAAATAAAGAAAATTAAATAAAGAAGGAACAAATTCATTAAGGTGTAATATGTATAAATAATGTAATAAAAATCATGTTATACATTATGACTATTTTTGAGAAACATGGAGAGCTAACAAAAGCTCTACAACTATAAAAAAAAGTCTCCTTGGTTGTCATGCTAACACATTGTAGATTTTATATAGTAACCACATTGCACAGTAATATATTTAGATTTTAGATACATTTAATATAGGGTCTTACATAATATGTAACCATTTCATATAGACTTGTGTAATATGAGTCAACAGAAAGTGTTATGCCCCATATTTGCATGTAAAAGGATTATAAACTGAGATGTGTCAAGATATATTTTCTGGAACAAATTGACTAAGTCTATATGATGTAATAAAACATATAAGGTTCTTGTAATAATCACATGATATTTTAAATCTGGAAAAACAATCATTTGACAGGGTATTTTATTTTACAGAAATAAATAATGGTTTTGTACCATGTCATGTGATAAAATGTATCTTATGCTATGCTTCATCTTGCTTTGCTTACTTGTGAAAAAAAAAATTCATATAATTGTACTGGGTTGTCAGTTACTTCATACTTAATCCTCATACTTTCAGCCATTTCCCTGCTATATATAAGCCAAGCATGGGGAAGTAGATAGTAGTATCATATCAATAGGTTGAAGGAATATACATTTTGTATTAGACAAATAGATGAAATATTATTAATGTTTTAACCTTTAAAATAATTGTAGTAATAGAATCAATAAAAACAACAAATAAAACAATATTGTGTCATTATCAACACTGTTTCTAAAAATTATGAAGAAACATCTCTAAAATCTCTGTGGGGCCCATTAAGGAGTTATGCAGGAGATGAAATTGGAAAATTAAACGAAACTTACCCAGTAAGGTGAAGTTTAGTTGAAATTTCATCGACTGCAAACTCCTTAAGGGCTCACACACCCACCCACACCATCCCAAATCATGTTCCTTCATAATAAGATCATGGTGCTGTATCACTAATCATTTAACACCATGATCTTGACTCTAAAGACTGATAAGCCTTGCTATTAGCTGCGTCTTCTCTCTGTGTGAGCCCTTAAGGAGTTTGCAGTCGATGAAATTTCAACTAAACTTCACCTTACTGGGTAAGTTTCGTTTAATTTTCCAATTTTTAATGGAAAATAAACAGTCAAAGTAATTTGTTTTCCATATTCTTATGCTTGATTTTCAACAGAGTTGTAACATACAATGTTCTTTTTATAACACACATGAAGTATTGTTTGTAATCAGAATAAAATGTTCTGGAACTTGTGCCATTTGGTAGAAATGCATATTGTCAATTTTTGGGAATTCGATGCAAAAAATTTGAAAGTTGGTCAGCCAACAGTATAGAGCCTCAGGTCAGACTGTATATGCAGGCTCTCCTGTCTCGACACTGCTTACAGTGGCTAAATTACTTTGGTTTCAGCAGGTTAAGGGTTAAAATCTGAAAGGTAAATAACCATAGTGAATATATAGAGGTTACTGAAAAGCCAGTATTAATTTTGTTTTATTGTAGGGTGATAGTTTTAATAAATTATTTTAATAACTGTATAATACACTTTATTTTGTTTAATATATTTTTGAATGATTTATAATTTGTTCAGCAAGTTATGTAATGTTTAACTAATTGTTATAAATATGACACAAAATAAGATATGGTTTGTTTCCTTGAAATTTCGGACTACTCTCCTTATGGAATAACATAGGGTTTTATGTTAAGAGGTATTAATGTGAAGGCTGGGTTAACAAAAAAATGTAGAAATATCACTTTTTAGTTAAAGAATAAAGCAAACCATATTTTATTATTGTGTAAAGTTCTTGTCAGTGTCAATTTGGATCATCCATATGTCAACCTGCTTTGCTCTGTCCTCCTCCAATAGCTTTCTCTGTTTACAATGGTCAATGTCATTTGGTAGTCATAGTAACAATTTATGCTCAGGTTTTAGAAATTTCAGAATTCTTTCTGCTAAAGCAATTTTTTACTTGTGATTATCAACTTTTCTTTACCCAATATAATCTAGAAATATCTATAATTTTGATCTTTTCCCAGGTGTTAGAGGCTTTCCTCATCATAATCTTTGCTAGTTATAAAACTTTAAATCATAATATACAGCTGACAGGGAGCTTAAAGGAAGAAATAGGCCTCTGGAAAGTTTCCTTATACTTTTATGATGAGTACAAATTTGGGTAAAATGTTGTAAAGCATTCACCCAATGAGGCCATTCATATGGTTTAATTTAAGTAAATAATTAGCTATAAGACAGGGAGCAATGGTATATCTGTGCTCCTAAATAATAAAACTGCAGCTTTATATTAGGTTGTGTAAAATTAAGTAAACGTTTCCACGGTAATGTAAAGCAACATTTCCAGTATTAAGACATATTTGGATGATGTATAATTGACAGCTGCGAGAAAAGACTCCATGGTTATTACAGAAACCATATGTCGAAGTGGAACCAATGGCACCATATGACCAATAGTAAGTACATTTCATGTTCCTATATATTATATATGATACAAATTGTAATCTTTACTTCATTCATTCATTATCAGTTAACTTAATTTTAGAAAGAAAAAAAAATAGGTTTTGGAAGTTCATCACTTTTTAGCTCGACTATTCGATAAGAATAAGTAGAGCTATTGAAGTCACCCGAGCGTCGGTGTCGGCGTCGACGTAACCACTTATGTTAAAGTTTTTGTAATAGTTCAAATATTTTCAAAGTCCATTGACATATGGCTTTGAAACTTTGCACACTTGTTCACCATCATGACCCCAACCTGTAGACTGGAGGAGGTATCTCTATCAAGCATTTTCACAGAATTATGCCCCTTTTTCGACTTAGAATTTACGTTAAAGTTTTTGTAATAGTTCAAATATTTTCAAAGTCCATTGACATATGGCTTTGAAACTTTGCACACTTGTTCACCATCATGACCCCAACCTGTAGACAGGAGGAGGGAACTGTATCAAGCATTTTGACAGAATTATGCCCCTTTTTCAACTTAGAATTTACTTTAAAGTTTCTGTAATACCTCAAATATTTTCAAAGTCCATGGACATATGGCTTTGAAACTTTGCACACTTGTTCACCATCATCACCCAACCTGTAAACTGGAGGAGGTAACTGTATCAAGCATTTTGTTTTTACTATCAAGCACTAAGAATAGTCGAGCGTTGCTGTCCTACCGACAGCTCTTGTTTTGTATTGACATAATTTCTTTGAACATGTAGATATTTAAATTTTCATGTCCTTTATTTGTCATTGTATGGGGTCAGATCAGATAATTACGAGTAGATACACAATAACACAGGCAGTCACTTTCCTGATCATATATCTATGCATCTGAGTTTATTTGAGATTGAAGCATGTATATTCCTTGATACTTTAAGATATGGCCTCAATTTTTATGAACAAAAGAAAGGATAAGTCAATATTAATTTAAGGTGTTAATTTTAGATAATATGTTCATGCTTGTTGAGATTTAAAGTATCATTTAAAGAATAATAGTTTGATTTTAGGCTAAATATTTGATTACTGACTGTATAATTATGTTATATTTAAAGTCTCCGATCAGTGATAGATATGTAAGTTATGATCTAACTTGTATTGAAATGTTTGATTATTTGAGCTGCGTCACGACAAAACCAACGTTATGTGTTTGTGACCAGTATGGATCCAGATCAGCCTGCACATCCACGCAGTCAGGATCCATGCTGTTCACTATTAGTTTCTCTACTTGTTATAGGGTTTGTAAGCTGGTCAGTGGATCCATGCTGGTCGCAAACACATAGTGTTGGTTTTGTCGTGATGCGGCTCATTTGTATCTAACTGTTCAATGTGTATAACTGTGTTTTGGTAATTTGTTTTGTATTATAACATGACAATTTCCTTATCATGCATTTTCAACATTAACATTTTATCAGGATAATAAAAACTACTTACCAGTATCATTGAAAGATTTGTATGACACGTTTTATAGTATTTTATCTATCCATTCAGTGTTGTAATAAGACCGTGTTGTCCTTCACCACGTGTAATATCACCGTGTTGTCCGTCACCACGTTTAGTGTCACGGCCAATCAGAAGAGTTGTTGTTAGGCCTATCTTTTAGAAGGCCTATCTTTTAGAAGGTTTGTTGTTTCGGAATGAAAATTATAGTATTACATCATCATTTGCATTATTTTTATAGTACAAATTGTGAATATTTTGTTTGTTTGTTTTTATTTATGCACAGCTTGTGTAGTCCATAAATTTAATTTTTGGTACATATTAGATTAACATTCATTCCAAATAACAAATCTTCTAAAAGATGGTCAGTAAATTATGATGATGGGTTTCTTTGAAGATCTAATTTTGTAAAACTCTCGGATGACCTAAAATGTATTAATAAAATGGAAATGCTATGACTTTTGTACATTATACTAAAGTGGTCATATATATTTGTATGTCCATAATAAAAATATGTTATTTTTATTATGATTATAATCAGTAAATGATGGATTTGAATATTTTGGATTGGTAATAAAAGCTGTTTCAGATTTGAAAAAATTAGGGTGATAAAATGTAAACTGTATAAGTCATTTTCTGTCAAATGTTTATAAGTTAAAGCATTAACATGTGTAATTTCTGTACATGATTAAAAGAATGTTGTAAGTTTAATAATGGTCCGTCCACTCTTTAAGGCACTGATAGTACGTACCTACCCACAAGAGCAATAGATATTATACATGTATATATAAATGTAATGTAAAAATCAAGTTTAAGGAAGCCATGACTGTTATTACAAAATTGTATAATACAGTTAAGAAGTGATGTTATATATATATCATTTATAATATCAAAAATAGGTTTTGGGAAATGCAGAAATATATAAATTCCGTTAAATTTTTATACGTTTATTTCTGTAAGCGTTTTCAATGTTTTTACATATCTCCAGACAGTAACATATATAACAATATGATATATATGTATATATATCCATTCAGCATTGTAACAGTAAACAATGGTTTTCCATCTTATGTGATATCGTCCCGAACACGCTCACAGCTCATACGTTAGACATACTTTGTGACTTGTAAACTATAGAATGGAAGGTTTGTTATTTTGGAATGAAAAGCAGTTAGAGCATTGTGATATATATTATATAGATATATCTAACACTAGAATCATGTCATGATTAATGCCTAAAATTCATCTTTTTCTGACTTGTTTGTTGAGCTTGTTTTTTTTATATTTGAATTATTTATATACATTATATTTAGAATCTAAAATTATGCAAAATTGTGATTCATTCCAGATAAAAAACCCAATTTTTAATTTCAGTATTTGATAGAGCTCATGTACCTTAAATTTTTCTTTAATTGTTTTAATATTTCAGCCCAAAACCTCGCCCAAGTTTTCACCACACATGGAATTACACTCAATATTATAGACCTCAGGCAGTACCCCAATTACGCCCACCCAGGAATATTGATTTTACTGAGACTGCAGAACCCAAAGGGGCTTCATAAAATAATGTTGTTGACTCTGATCTAAAGGTCAAGGTCATTCAATATTCTTATAATATACTAATTTTAGTACAAGATTTAGTTTTATTTGGAATGAATGCAAACAATTGAGGAATTATTTTTCTGTGTTAATGGCAACTGTATCTAGTTTGCAGACAATAATTCAAGGACAAAAGTATCTTTGATGTAAAGTATTACATATAACTTTAAAAAAAATTGTTAATTGATATGATTGTAATTGTAATTAATTTGACTGGCTTTCAAAATTATAGAATGTAAATTGTCTGAGTACAGTTATCATTACACAGAGTCATACATCTCAGCTTCTACTAACTGCTTTTCATTCTCTATCACTACAGTGTATTCACATTATATCAGGTTTACAAGAGATAAACTTTACTACAAAGTCTTCAAAATTAAAATATCTGAGCTGGATGTGAATTTCAGTCCAAACAACTATGTACCAGCATTTCATCATGAATGGGATTATCATCAGGCATACAGAGCAAGTTTGATTCCCAATTTCCCGAAAGTGAAGAACATCAACACACCAGACCCAGGTTCTGAGGGTTACCAATCAATACCTGGCTCTGAATAGAGGATTGGAGGAAAAACAGTGATATTTAGTATTGATACTATCTGCTTGTGCTTGTGTGAAGTTAGATAATCCATAATTATTAATACTAACCAACCAAACAAGATTTATTTCACATTTTTGAAAGCCACTGCACAGAAAATGTATAAGCTAAAGTCAAAGTAGTATAAATATTTATATACACTAACAATTTTGCTGTAATATGTCAACAAAGAGTAACAACATTTTTTTCCTCGTCACTGAAAGTCATTCTTGGCCACACACACACTGAGCCTGAATTATACAAAAATATTTGCTTCATCCTTAAATGTGTGGTGAAAACTTGGATACTAGCCATGAAACTTAAGACAACTTTGGGACCTGTGATTATTTCAGTTTAAACCGGTTTGATAAGAGGCAGATAACTACAGCAGCAAGGTCTTGGGTTGCTACTCAGCACATAAAGCCATTTGAGCGTCCAATGTACCCACTAGATGAAGAAAATTTACAGAATCAAACCCAGGTTGATGAAGATAGTGACTTTATGATGCCTGAAGATCAGCAAGAACAAAGAGGCAGACTTAGGTTTCAAACCCCAGCTCTACAGTATAATCCTGCCTATCAAAGAACACCTATGCTAAATCAGTATGCTCAGAATCCTGAAGGTGCAGATGTAACAGATTCTCTGATTGGTCAACCAAGTAGTCAGGGCCAGATAAATCAACATGCTCCAGCTGGTAGAATTCTTAGAAGTGAAACAGCAAATGGAGGAGATATTAGGTCAACATGGGGTCAGCCTGTTCAGTTTGACTGTAAGGAACTATGTTGTAGATATATCAGATATACTAACATTTTTTCACTGCTTTAGATCATGTCACACCCTTGGCAATTTTTTCATAAATTGTATTGACTTAGGCATGATTTTCCAACCAGAAGGTTATGACTTGAAGTTATTCTTGAAGAACTTGATGATAGCATGTCTCATGGTCAGATATTCCTTGTGCCCATTCTACAATTATTATAGCCCATAGGATTAATATAGCTGAGAATCTTGAAGTATTGATATAATAATGGTGACCAATGACTGATTGCTGAAGAAGTTACAAAAGAAAGAAGACCAGAACAGCAATACAACATCAGAGAATCTGAAGTTCTTGAGATATAATAGATTTGATGTTTTTTTGCTAACAGTTCAAGCCAGTAAATTTTACCATACACATCGAATGGTACTGTCATATGGATTGTCAGCATCAGATCACCAATAGATATGTTACAGTAGTTATATTGTTGAATGTATGCTGAAATAAACACTTGTCTTTCTTTGGGAGAAGAAAAAGATGAATGTCATTTAGATGGCTTCTATGATGATCAGTTGTGTTACATTTATTTGTGTTACATTTATTGAAAGTCTATCCCTTTACCAAAGGTTGGCTGTTGTTGAAAGTGTATCTTTATCAATTGTCTGTTGTTCTTAAGTTTGTACCTTTACCAAAGAATGACTGTTGAAAGGTGTACCTATGCCAGTTGTCTGTTGTCCATTAGTTTGTATCTTTACCAAAGAATGACTGTTGAAAGGTGTACCTATGCCAGTTGTCTGTTGTCCATTAGTTTGTATCTTTACCAAAGGTCAAATGACCATAAGTTTTTATCTTTACCAAAGGCTGACTGTTGAAATGTGTACCTTTATCAATTGTCTGTGCCCCTAAGTTTGTCTTTTACAAAAGGTCAAATGACCATAAGTTTGTATCTTACCAAAGGTCAAATGACCATAAGTTTTTATCTTACCAAAGGTCAAATGACCATAAGTTTTTATCTTTACCAAAGGCTGACTGTTGAAATGTGTACCTTTATCAATTGTCTGTGCCCCTAAGTTTGTCTTTTACAAAAGGTCAAATGACCATAAGTTTGTATCTTACCAAAGGTCAAATGACCATAAGTTTTTATCTTTACCAAAGGCTGACTGTTGAAATGTGTACCTTTATCAATTGTCTGTGCCCCTAAGTTTGTCTTTTACAAAAGGTCAAATGACCATAAGTTTGTATCTTACCAAAGGTCAAATGACCATAAGTTTTTATCTTTACCAAAGGTTGACTGTTGAAATGTGTACCTTTATCAATTGTCTGTGCCCCTAAGTTTGTCTTTTACCAAAGGTCATGTGAACATCAGTTTGTACCTTACCAAAGGTCAAATGACCATAAGTTTGTATCATTACCAAAGGTTGACTGTTGAAATGTGTACCTTTATCAATTGTCTGTGCCCCTAAGTTTGTATCTTACCAAAGGTCAAATGACCATAAGTTTGTACCTTTATCAAAGGTTAGCGGTTGAAATGCGTACCTTCATCAATTGTCTGTTGGCATAAGTTTATACATTTACCAAAGGTCAAGTGAACATAAGTTTGTACCTTACCAAAGGTTGATTATTGAAGTTTGCACCTGTATCCAAGTTGCTTGCACATTGGTGTACAGAATATCAAAATAAAAAATTGAAATACAATTAAGTTTAGAATAATGTATAGAAAACTTTGCTAGAAAATTTGTCATTTGCTTAGATTGTCTAGTTGGCATATAGTGTCATGAAGTTTTCTTTTTGTAATTTTATCTTTTGTTGGCAGTTTCTCTTTATTACTAATACATATTTCTTTTGTATATTTTACAGAGTTTATAGAAGACATTGAGCACTTTAGCTGTTTATCATATCACACAACAAGCATGCTTTGTTTTATATATGGCCTTTTTCTATACTTGCTATTAACACTTAGATTTATAGACTATATCATTATTTTCTACCATTTAAAAATAAAAAGAAGAAAAACATTAAAATTTTGTAAAATGTAAGTGGCATAAAAAATATTAAGTTTAAAGTTTGGCTTAATTAAATTTGTTCCTAATATAGTTATACATATAAGTTGTGCATTTTTTTTACTTTCATATCATTTATTTAAAAAAAAGTATCATTATTTTTAAACTTTTCATAAAGCATTGTGAATTGGACTGTACAGTTTTTTTTTGAGATATGTTTAACTAGATAAATATAGATTACTTAGAAAAAGGTCATATAACTAATGCTTTCATATTTTTCCTTCCACAGGATGCAGAAATTAGCGGCAGTGTGCAGTTTCATGGGCTTGATGACGTAACATGCCAACAAAAACAAAACAAAAAACTAAAAAAAACAATAGTGAACAAGTTTTACTTTGACCAATACCTTTATATTTTAAGCTGATATAAATGTTACCCATATTCAATTTGAAGGATTGAAATTTCGTAACAATATATATTTACGCCGTGAACACCACAGTTGATCTTATTACTTTGCTGAATGGATATATAAATTTAGATATCTTTAATATGTATATATGTAAATTAGGAAAGATTCTTCTTCTACTTTTTTTTTGGGAGGGGGGGGGGATTTTAATGTTTTGCTGGAATACCAGGTGATTTTTTATTAAACGCTTCTTTTCAGAAAGCAAACCCCGAGTTATCAAAACTTACCAGTATGGATATTATTTAGCAATTTTTATGAAATTTGTTTTGACTTTGTTGAACAATAAACAATAATTATACGAGTTGATTTTGATTTCCTATGAAAAGCATTATTATAATTTTATTGTGTAAAAGCATGATTAAGATGTTGAATACAATGTTCTATATAGTAAAAAAATATACATGTATGTAAATTATATTGAAAATTTATCCCATAAAAGATTGAGACATATATTTTGACATTGTTGTTTTAGAAAAAGTATTTAAATATACATTTAGCCAAATTAAAATTCAAAACTTTATAAGAAAAATTGTGTGTCCCTGAAATTTTCCCTATTTGTTTGTTTGTTTTGTATTTAATATGCTAACAAAGTGATGTAAATTTGGTGAGTATTAATTTCTAGTAACCTTAAACATTTATGAGGTTTTAAAAAAAAACGTTTTTTTTCTCTGATTTTTGTAATGGTCATTTTGTTTGAAGGGCATTTAAATAAAAACTAAATTTTATCATATTGATACTTTTTCTATAAACATTTACAATAATGACTTTTAAACTAAAAGGAATGAAATAATTAGAAATGAAATAAAGTAGTGCAGAACTGCTGTATTTTTAGAAAAGTAACATATTCTATCTATTACAGTGCGGGGTTTGTGATCTTCTATGATTTTATCTTATCTCTGGATCCTACAATACAAGCATGCCGCCTGGTTGTTGGTTTACACAGTTCATCAGCAGTGATGGGAGAGCCAACGGTGTTACCGACCGTGTACACAGAGCCGGCTACACGCGGGGAGAGATACAACTATAACTATTCTAATGCTGTAATAGGAGCAAAACAACCTGTTCCAAAGTAAGATAGTACATGTTTATCACTCGCCGTATAAAGTGCGCCAGAACTAAAACGTCTTAAAATTCTCATATTGTTCCATTCAAAGCTGTCTGAACGTTAAATATAATGCTGTTAACTAACGGAGAGAGTTTTCAAAAAAGCTTTACAAGCATCCTACTCAATCCGTAAATTTTATTTTATGTACTTTATTATGTAAATGTATGGATTATAAATAAAAAATTGTTTAAACTAATGCTGTTAATTGACCACATTAAGGTGAATATGAATCAGACTTCTGTTAGTATGTAAGAAGTCAAATATACAAGACTATATGGAAAATAGTGGAATAAATATTTCTTTTATTTGACAATGATTTTAAACCTCTTCAATCATGTCGAACTATCTCATGTTTTTCAGATGTCCACCTGAATCTGATCTTGGTATAGTAACTGAACTTCAAGCAAGTGGTGGTCCTGCTTCAGAACATGACCGTAACAGTCTGATAACTAGAGCATGGACCAAGATTCCTTTGTTTGATAATAATAGTCGCCTGATAGCCGGTAGATTCAGGATACCGATGAGAAATGTGCCAATTAAACCTTTCCTTCATGTCAGTCAAATACAACGTGTGCCAAAGGTAACATTTGAATTACATAATTATCTTTTAAAATTATTCATGAAATCAGAGCCCCATTTGAGCAAAAAACATTTAAACACTTTCAACTTTGGGCTATTTTTCACAATTGAAATTATCATTCTATACAAAGAGATCTGACAAATGAAAGTTATTGGTTCAGAGCTACATCAAATATAATGTGAATCTCAAAAAAAATTGTATTCCTGTCATGTCAAAAAACCTCAGTGTAGTCACTGTTAGCTTGGCAAATGGTCTACATTTAAGCTACCAGTAACTATTTTGGTATAAGATTAAGAATGTTGAAGACAGTCAATCATTTTGGGCATTTTTTGAAACCAAAATGAAAAAACAGAAAAGCCAAATCATTGAAAGAATAAATGAGGCTTATATAAAAATTAAAACATATACTATTATGAAACTGACATGGAAGCATTGTGTCTGAGATGGAAACTTGTGTTTTACAATATTTGAGCCGCGTCACGACAAAACCGACAGTGCATTTGCGCCCAGCATGGATCCAGACCAGCCTGCCCATCAGCGCAGTCTGATCAGGATCCATGCTGTTCGCTTACAAACCCTATAACAAGTAGCGAAACTGATAGCGAACAGCATGGATCCTGATCAGACTGCACAGTTGCGCAGGCTGGTCTGGATCCATGCTTGGTCGCAAACGCATTACGTTGGTTTTGTCATGGCGCAGCTCATTTAGTTTTGATTGCTGTTTAAGTTTTACATAACTGTATTGTTATATTTTCATGTATTAGTATGGGGATGCAGAGTTATACTACAGGATTGTGAACATGAGAGATGCTGAGATACACTCCATGGCCCAGATCTCTGCTGCCAACTACAACCAGTATACTCATCCTCAGGTATAAAACCACTTCAAGCTGAAACTGTCATTTTTATACAACTTTCTTTTCATATCTTGATTTGCAGCTTGACTATTACATATGTAGTTTGCAAATTAAGATATATTTAAGCAGGATGTTGCAATGATGTACTACAAAAATCTCAATAGAAACAGAATGAAATAAAATTTCAAAACAATTTTTATATGTCAAAATATGTTTGTTTCTTATTTTATATCATTCTAAACTTTACATAAAAAACAAACTTTGTAGTTTATCTGCAAACTTAAAACTTAAAATCTTTATAAAAAATTCTGCAAGTTTGCATTTTAGAATTTCATTAAAGTGAAATTCTATGCAAATTTTATACATAAAGAGATCTAAGATCTTTATTTATTAAATTAATCTTTTGTAATACTTAGTATAAATAAGCAAACCTTCGTTAGATCAGTATTTCCATTTCTGTTTCATTTTTTTCTATGATTTAATTCAAATGTAAAAAGATATTTATGTATATAGCATTTGTCATGTTTTATGAGCCATGGAATGGAAACAAACATATTTCTCTATATCGTCTTAAAAGCTTTTAGACCGATACCATGATGTGGATAATTTTTAATAAGCTTTTCTTTCCTGGTTTTTTATTTTGGGGGAAGGGTCGGAAATACGATGTAAAAGTTGTTTTGAGTCTAAATAAAATGACTTAGTATCCACATCAGTATCACAAAGCATATATGAAAGTATAATTCATGTGATTGTCTTCAACATCAAATTTTGTTTCCATAGATACCTGGGGACTATTCTCCACAGAGAAAAATCCTCCCAATTGAAAGGTACAAAAGGCCATATTGCTGATAACTAAAACAATAACTTGTAACTTAGATGTCTAGAATTTTATCATTAATACCAGATATTGCTTGGAATGTTTGTACGTTGAAATAAATGTATTTATCTTCAACAGTTCATCATTTTTTTTTTTTCAAACTGGAAGTTAGAAATCAAGTTGAATGGTTCAAAACTAGTGTTTTGGGATATTTTTAAGTCAAAGAATAACTCATTAGGTTGAATGGGAAAAATGTAATATGTGTAATTAATTTGAAGTTGAAGATGAATTACATGATTATTGTAAGAAATATTAGAAATGATATTAGAATCACTGCTACAAATTATGTACTTTCACATCGTGTGACATATAGCTTTTACTAAAAAAGATTGAGTTCATTAGGAACTTGTATTCACTGCTGTTAAATATTTTCCATAATTTATAAAGATATTGACTTGTTTCTACTTAAACACTTACCCGAACAATCAATTAGCAGCTTAAGGGATGACTATGTAGCAGAATACTAGAATTGAACAAAAAAAACAAATCTGACAGTATGTAGTCTAGCATGGATATAGTCTGGCCAAAAATGATTAAATTAAAATGACTTGATTTAATGTGCATATAGAATGAAAAGTTAACAGAATAAAGATATTTTCCAGGATGTATATAATTACGTTAGGTTTGTTATGATCACCATAAGTGTTGAAAACTGAGTACTGTGTCTTACAAAGGGTGTATGTAATAATGTGTGTGTTTAACTTATAAAGTCATGTGTTGAAAAATTGGTGACTGTGATGAAATATTTTCTACAAATCAGTATTACCATATAATATTATTATGTAGCAATAGGCTCATACATTTTTGTTTATTGCTTTTTTATACTAAAATAATACATTATGAATTTCACTACTACAAAAATGCTTAATAATATTTTCTTATGTGTTACAATGCATGTTTGAAAATTAATGTTTTACTACTCTTTTTTTTGCACTGTTTTGTATATAATGAGTAAATACTATATGGGCTTTATGTACCTGCACCATGTAGCTTGCTGTCAAACTAAAATATAAATAGTTAAAACAACTTTGAAGTTTCTGCATCAAACTAATTTGTCTACAGATTTAAAAAGAAATCAATATTTTATACGAATTATTCACCTGATACTTACCATCTTAATGGATAATCAATTCAGTTTTATTTTATCTAGAAAAAAGGTCTTCATATATCAATTATTATACCATAGAGATGTAATGCCAAGTAAATAAAAACCATTTATGTTGAACAACATCTAAAAGCAAAGAGACTTTTCTTTTTTTTATGAAGCATTTTTTTTTAAAGAAGACAAATGTTAAAGATAGAAACTTCATGTTATTAATCAAGGCGCCCTTGTGATGTTATATTGCTTCATTACTAACATCCTTTGTTTGTTGCAGTGGATAGTAGAGGCTCCGGAAATCAACATTCCGGTGTACACACCTAAAAAAAATATACCCCCACCACCTACAGCTAGCCCCTTACATACACCAAGAAAACAGAAGAGGGGAAGGTAAAAAGTGTTGGCACAATTTTGTGACCATTTACCCCCACAATAAACAGTTGCTAGTTATGCCCTTGCTAGTTATGCCCTTGCTTTTCTCCCTTACACAATATTCGTCAATGATGTTTTTTAAATGAACATTTATACTCTTTTATGATATGTAAAATACATGTATGTAAACTGAAGTAAATTTTTATAGCTTCGTAAGTTAGGACATAAATCAAATGATCAGATAGTTCATGTTGTCTAACGGTTTGGACAACTCTTGTTACTATGACCTTGGTTCCAAGTCTATCTCAATAAACTGTTCAATTAAAGAATAATGTAGTGATAAATCTGGATTATTTCCTACACTGTTCATTATTTTGGTAGAATGCAGTTGTCTGAAAAACAAAAATATCTGTTTCTCTGATATGTAAATGTGACAAGACCAAACAGAGACTTGGCTCAATCACAATACATGACTGTCAAATGCAATAGAATATTTCAATTGAATGTTCAGTTTTTTGCCGTCTTTTCAGAAATAATTATTATTTTACTATTTGCGATGATAGATCCTGTTACACAGAATACAGTGTATATGATTTTTCTTTAAGTGTTATATAGTAACAATAATTTCCCCAATGGTTATTTTGCTATAAAGTGTAAGAGAGAATTTGTTAGGGGCATTATTGTTCCTGTAAAATCCCTTTCCTGTTTTTGGTTTTGGGTTGTTTCCCTTTATTATATATAAGTTAATTTGCTAGACAGTTTGTAGCAAACTTATTTACAATGTTAAAACCTTACCCATCTTTATCCTTTCCCTGCTATATACATGTATGTACATAACATTGGTCTTATTTGAAACAATTAAAAGTTTCGATGAATTTTTATTATCAAATACTTAGTGCTTAATTTATTAGCCAACAATATATACCGGTACAGTCTTTTTTTTAGTGAGTCATTATTTACAGTAGCATTCTGAAGGATTATTATAGTTTAGAAAGGAAAATATCTTGTAATCTTTAAAAAAAAAAATATATATTTTAGCTTTTATATAGTAGTTTTACCTTTTGTTTTGTAAGGATAAAATGTTTGCTTTCACTGAAACTAAGTGCATTAATTTGGTAGAATTTGCTGCTGGTGTATGCAATATTTAGCTTTTTAGTTCTCTTTTATAGATGTAGTAAGTTTTTCTTGTCTATCTTAATTATCAATATGATAAAGGCTTTGGCCAATTTCTTAATGTAACACCATTCCAAGAAATGACTGTTGTGTAGATATAGTTAACTGTGATGTGATGGTGAACTTTTATCAATGTATCAACTACATATTTTGTTTCAATGATAAAATTCTATAAACTTTAAAGAGACAAGAACTCAAATCAGGTTTAGACAATTAAAGGCATGATTAAGCAACATGCAAAGAAACCTTTAGCATTAGTCTAAGAAATATCAGTTTCATATTAGCATTTGGATAATAATTTTTTGTAATCTATATTTTCATAACCTAGTTTAATAAAAACACTAGATCTTTCTCTTTTGAAAATTTGAAAAATAAATATTTCTATATTATATGCTATATCTTTCTCTTTTGAAATTTTGAAAATAGAAATTTCTATATTATGTGCTATTTTATTATAATTATGATTATTTATTACATTGATTTTGCATCTTACAGATGTGATTATTTCATAATTCAGTAACAGTGTATTGATGATTATTATAATATGTCATAAGTTTTACGTTAGACATTTTATAAGTGTTATAGTTATATGTTACTGTATATTTGTTCAATTAAAGCAATCAAAACTATCTACATTTGTATATTATGAGTACATTTTTCAGTAATGATCATAAGTAACTTTCTCAATAGGTATCTTTCTTAGATAAACAACTTAGTATTTTTGTGTATTCATGTATTCAGCATATAAACTGTTGCCATGGAAATAATAAGCATGTTAAAATATTCTGTTAACGAAAATTATAATTGTTGTTGTAGCGCACAGCAGGTGCCGGTAACCCCGCAGGACCGCCTACCCTCCATCCAACGCAGAGCGCCTCGCTCAACTTCTCCCCCTCAAATTATGGCACTCCAAGATATGACATTGGGGTTCCAGGTGGACCGGGTTAAACATGCAGAGCCGGGGGAGGGGAAAGTTAGACTCACTGCTTATTATGCTTCTACTGGAAAGGTAAATATATCAAGAAAGTGTGAAGTTTGATTATAAAGAGTTTTTGTTTTGATTGGAAAGTGGTGAATGAAATGTTAAAGTTTAACAAATGTATATTTTAAGTTTATTTGAGTACTGTACGTTGATACCTGTAGAATCTGTCCAAATTTGAGGTTTTACAATCACTTACATGCTCCAATTTTAGCATTATTTTTTAAATATATGAAATATTTTAGCATGCATTATTTTCTAATTACTGTTATATCTACATAAATGTACATATTTTCAGGTTGTACAATCATCTACCAGCCCTGTCACCTGTAGTACTACAGCAGTTCGCTCTAATTTTAAGTTTGGCTACCATGTTTTTGGTCAACAAGAAGCGTCTTTTCAGGATGTAGAGTACCAGGGTGACATGGTCCTTATTGCTCGCCTCTACCTCAAGAAACGTCAGTCTGATGCGTTAGATGATTTTATGATGCCAGATCAGGGTGCACAAGAAGCCTCGTTATATGACGAGGAGACTTGTGTAGCCTGGTCATACCTGCCTCTAGTCAACTGTGAGGAGAGTATGTCTACTTTATGAAAATATTTATTAAAAAGTTCATACACAGCTTCTGTTATTTATGTTATTTATGTCTATTAATGTAAACTGGTTTGCTTAGTATAATAATCAGATTAGTAATGTATGATGTGTTGAGTATTATAAAGAAGAATTAAATGAAAATAAATGACTGCCAACAATGCATTTTTAGCCATTCTTTCATAATAAACACCTTTTCAAAGAGAATAAAGAATTTTCAGTCTTACAAAGTCTTGTAATATTCTGTAGATTTTATTAGAGCAGTACATTGTATAGTTTTATTGTTGATATTTCTTCTTGAAGTTTAAGCAAATGTTCATGCACACATTTCTTTTTCAGACTTATCTGTTAAGAAGAGAAGAACTTTCAATCCTAACATCATGTCCATAAATCAAGGCACTCATACCATTCCACTTTTTCAACCACCCATTGCTGAACCCAATCAGATCCCTGTTAGTGATCAACCATATTCCAGGGACTTGCAACGATATGGCAAAGCCACCTTGAGAATTTATATATTCCAAGGTCAGCCTAGACCAGGCTCTCTAACCCCTAGTGACATCTCTGATGTTGATGATGAAGATACATTACCTGAGGTAAGAGTTGTTGACCTTGTCATAGGTTCTATTAGTGAGGTTTTCTGAAAGAAATATATATTTTGGTTTATATTAGATTGATGAATTTCAGCAATTAGCTAAGTGGGCAGGCATAAACATGTTTTTATGTTTAAATTCAATGTAATAATTATAAAATAGAAATACTAATCTGTATGCATCTGTTCTTACATTTTCTATGGGGTTTCAACTTTTGAATTTTCACAGATTTATTTCATTAAGTGCCCTTGCATAGTACAGGGTTTTTATGATTTTGTCATTTTTGTGGGAAATTGGTCCTTTGTCATTGTTTTTTTTTCATATCTAAGTATTTTTCATATCTAAGTAATGGAGGAAAAGTATTTTGTGCAAACGGCCACAGACATTTTCTTTTATCATTGAAGGAAAACCTGGTTTTATGACAATTTCTGTTGCTAAATGTTGAAAGTTATTGTGCTTTTTCTTAAGGTCGATTATTTAGAAAACTAAGCTACATGAATGCTGCATAGCACTATTGCTTCTATTGTTTCCCTTACTATAGTTTAGAAATAACTCTGAAAGCTCAGAAAATTTGTCTATAAATAGGTCTTTCATTAATTTGAAAGACTTGTTTTATGTGAAAAAAGCAAGTTTTTCTAAGGTTTATTCAAAGAAGTTATATGTACATTCATTTACAATAAATGTTTATCTATCAAAAGATAAATGGGGATTTGTTTGTGAAGAAACTGTTTTATATATATTTCAGTTTGCATGGTTACCTTTAGAAAGAAAGACTCCAATTAAAGAACCGTTCCTGTTAGGAGATGGTTTTGATGTATATATTGATGCATGTAGATACCTACCTGACTCTGCTACCTTTACTAAGGTATAAACTGTTGTATGTTAGTTACCTAGTTAATATGATTCATAAAACAAGCTTGAACAAGGTGAGTCACTTTAACCGACAATGTAGAAATTAAATACACTGTTTAATCTGAAATTGTATAGCTAAAAGTAGATGTATAACAGACAAGCTATTTTATCATGATACTATAACAGCTAACAGAATAATGATGTATATTAAATATATAGAGGATATTGAATGAGTGTAAGTTCAATACTGAATTTATTGCACGAGTTGAATAAAATTATATTATGCGAGCCTCTGGCGAGCATAATATTATTTTATTCAATGAGTTCAATAAATTCAGTAATGAACTTACACGAATTTAACATTCTATTTATCACACACCCAAAATAAGGACCGTTTAAAGTGAAATAAGAGTTATTTTTCACTGACGCGCCTATAGTATTACGCTAACAATTTGCGCGTCTTTACACTATGTTTGTATAACGCTAATGATGTCATGTCAAAATATATGCAGGGCCGTGCAATACCATATTTACGGAGTCGCAAAATCAGCATGGGTGTGTGATAAATACTGGTTATGCATTTGTATTCCTTCACATTTTATTTAAATAAAAGGAGTAAAATTTGGGGAGCATTATTGAAGTGTTTATGCATCATATACATCATATTTTCTTCATTATTTAAACAAGAGGATAATCAACTAAATTAAAAAAGGATTCTATGAATATGTCAGGTGAACTGGCTATAATTGGCTGCCTTTCATTTAATATGTCATTTGGCAGAGATTTTACTGCAAATATTTTGTGGGGAAAACTATGGAGTTGGTTAAAGAAGCATGACTTATACACTGCAGGGAAAATTTAAGGCTCTTATGATCTGTTATCACCTGAAAACTGGGAAAATGACTGTATGACATTTGTATAGTGCTTGTATAATTTGAAACCATACATCCTAACACTGTCATAAACAAGAAAAAAAATGAATTAATTTATTAAACATTTATATTAAAGGTTGCTGGACGTATACTTGACCGCCGCTACGAATTGTATGGCAAAGATATAAACACAGGTGTGAAATTAGACAGTGATGTCTATAATCCAGTGTACGAAGAAAAAGTAGAATTTAGAGAGACAAATATACCACCAACTGCTACACTACTTCTTAAGGTATATGATTTATTTATACCATGATGGATATGATAATTCTACAACACTAAAAGCATGTATGCAAAGTTTTTGTCACAGGTGTAGAGTCAAGCAGCCTATACTTAAATATTAGCCTTCCAAATCTTTTAAAAATCTTCCAAATTCATTCAGGTATCTCAGCAGATAATGGGTTTATTATTTTTGTATGATGATGTCAAAAGGTCAAACATTAAAGTTATCTATAAACAATAGCAACAATTTATGCCTTATATTACACAGATGAGAACTCCTATAACCATTGGATATACTGTTGCTATTTTCATTGTTGGTATAGTGATGATTTTACACATGCACTTCTAGTCCTAACTAAAATATTTACAAACATTATTCCTTTAATTTAGAACCTTCCTATGATTTTCATGATGAAAAAATCAATTTATCTGTATGAATGAAAGACTGCCCTAGGTAGGTTTTATACCCTTTAAAATTGATGTGTTGTTTTCAATTTTGAGCTTGACTATTCCAAGAACTTGAGGGCTATTGTACTCATGTATGCATTGGCATCAAAGTTTTTGTGTGCAAGTTGATATCACCAAACTACTGAAGGGAATGGGTATTATGATTATTAATATTTTATTTTTTAGGTTTATACAATAGACAATTTTTACAAGACACTGACTGTAGTGGGATATAGTACACTGAACATTTTTGTAGAGACCGGGACAGAGAGGCAGCCTGTAGTTGATAAACCTATGCAAGTAAGTTATTGATTATAGATATTGATTATATATATTGATTATAGAGAACAGAACTATAAATTTGTTAAATGAAGAGAAGCAATTTTGGAGGAATTTGGATCATGGCAAGTTAAACTGAAATTAAACATTTTGTGAAACAAAACATTATTATCTTTGAAGTAGCTGGTTTTTTTAAATATACTTATATAAACTTTAGCTGGGAAAGAAAGTGATAATATTTTGTTACTTTTGGCTCATTTTAGTAAATATTTTTGAATAGTATGGGAAGTTTTAAAAAAGTGTTGCAACATAGTTTGTCAGTAAAAAGAAGTTTGACTTAGTATAATAATTATGCAAGTATAACTAATATGTATCCATGTAAGTAACAAACAAATGTTTCTTGGCCATTCTTATTAGTAATAATAAAGTCATCTAATTAGGGATGACAATTCCATTAATGAATAATCTGACTGAAATGGTTGTAAATTTATAATTTATTCTAAAGAACAGAAAAGTATATTCTATAGATCATTGGGGTTTTTTTTTCACCAGATACTAAATGAATGTGTATATTCAGTATTTGTTGTTATTTTTTTCAAGTGTAAATCTTGATGAATGTGTCATAGACATTGTCATGTTTATTTATGCCAGTACTTTTATATATTTTTGTTCATATATGATAGGCAAGTTGGTCAAAGGTAAACAAATTTGTTGTGTAAAATATTTTGTAGAAAGTAGAAATTGTACTCTCCTCAGCCAATCTACATAATTCTTTTCTATGGTTACCAGTATAAAATTATCAATTATTAAAAATTAACATGTTTATTCTCCTTCAAAATTTTTAATATTTTCAGCAATTATTTTTTCAGCACATCTGCCTATGTCAAAACATGTCTGATGTTTCATTATCATTCAGTGTAAATTTTATAGACCCTTATTCTTAAAATATTTACTGATAGAAAAGCAAACAGTGCAGACCATGACCTTTGAGTACAGTGTCACATCATTGGCAAAATAAGAATTCAATAACAAACATTACCCAGTTCTATTTCAATAATGATTAAATAAATGTACAGTTGTATACTGTTAAGTTGTTCTCTTAGTCTGGCAAAACCTGACACTAATGTAGTAGCAGGAGAACCTGGCTTCCAAACTGTCTCTACCAAAAATATACTACTATTGAAATTTAATCTAGATTTCACAGAATAAATGTGCAGTCTGAAAAAAAAACAACACAAAACCAGGACCCTCAGAATACTTTTCTGCGGGTCTACTGACTGAGTAACTTGACATTAACAAGCTGTATACACGATAATGCTCTTTTTCTCTTTGATAATAAAAGAAAATATGAAGTAATTCTTAAAATAATTACTCTTCTTTCTTCTTTAAATGATTTCAAATAATATTATTTTATTTTCTACTTTTTTGGCTTTCAATTTGTACACTGTCTCCTGAAGTTTTAAATATTTTAGAGAAGTGAACTCTGCATTTACATTACTCCATTTATTAAACCTTATACATGTATTCAAACCCTAATACCTTCTACCCAACTACTGTTAAATAATTATCTGACTCTAACTGATATCTATATTCTTACATGAATCATTTTATTTCAATGTTTTAAAGCATTTACATAAAAAAGAGAAACAAAAGAGAAAAGAGGGAAAAATGTCAGTTGATTTAGCTTAAGGTATAGTAGATACCAGGATGGTAGCTTGAACATTATATTTATAATATATATAAGACTTACTGTACTATAACAATAAAAACATGTAAATTTTTTTGTCTTTCAGGTGTCATTGAATGAAGGAGCTCATCAGTTACGATTATTTGCCCAGGGACCTAATGGTGTTGATCCCCTGACAGAAGCATGCTTGCGTGATTCTGGTACTAGGATCGTACCATGTTCCTCTGTCCTGGTGAGGCTTGTTAAAGTGACAAGGGGCTCTGGTGGGAAAGCCCTCGAGGTAAACATACACATTGCTGTCTTGTCCCAAATAAACTGGACTAATAAACATAATTTATTTTTAAAATTTTAGTTGATTAAGATAAAAAGATTAGTTTTTTTCCCCGGAAGTTCTCATAAAGTGAAGGTTATGTTTCTAGGTCTATTTTCTTTTGGATTGATGGATAATGTTTAAGAGTGATTTATGTTTTGATTGTAATACATGTTTTCCATGTTCTATATTACAACAGTCCAGTAAAGTTCCAAAGGGAGATTGGCTACGTATGGGATTATGGCAGCCACGCCCAAAGTACTCAGACCGTGTTTATTACTCCTCAAAGGCAATGCCGACACGTGGAGAGACTCGACTCTTCCACAGTATGATGCGACGTACACGGAGAACAATACGCGAAGTTATAGCACTTGTTGCCTCTGCAAAGGAAAGCTTCTTACGGAGTGATAAAAACATGGAAGAATACATCAGAGTAAGTTTAACGAAGAATTGTTTTCTGAAAATATTTTCTGTTTGTAAAAAAATCTCTTTATCAATAATATTGACAGAGAAACAGTAAACTTTTGACACACTGCGCTAAACGTATCCTTATAGAATATTTCCTCAGTGAATAGAGTAAATTAATCTTACATTTATTTAGCTGATTTAAGAACATATTTTGTTACTAATTTTAAGAAGCTTTGAATAAGATTTTATTCATATGAAGTGCCGTACTTTTCCTTCAGAATCAACTGACAAAGACACCAGATGTGAAAACCTTGGAACAAGATCTGAACTTTATCTGCCAGTATAGTCCAAAACATGGCATCAAGGTTCGTGACTCTTTTATAACTAGATAAAGTAATACATAAACATAAGTGAACGTGATGACAAGATCATTCAAGTTAAACAGAGGTGTTTAAAAAGGGGATAAAATCATCACAAGACTGATAACAAACACTGTATATAAGCAAGAGGGCCTGATATAAGTATATAGCTATCATATGTACTCTAGATCAGAAATTGGTTTGGCATTATACATTGAAGCAGTTTATAAAAAAAGTCATGGGAAGATTTATTAAATGTCTAATACTATAATAACAGCGTCCAAATTGTATAAATTTTGGTTAAATTGACCCTGAGTTAAATGTTAACCAACGGTTAAATTTAACCAAGTCAGGTTAACTTATCAACTTTGGTAAGCCACTTGTTTAAACCGGGATAGTCAAAAGATAAACTAACAAAAATGGTTAAAATCAACCATTGGTTAAACTAACCAATATCAGTGCAGACATGCAATAATTTATATATCTGGTAATGTCATTTTCACACAAAAATTAGGTATTGTTTATCTTCATTGTGATTTATCTGCCCTTGATAAAGTCCAATATGGCCAAAAAAAGAGTCCAATATGGGGCAGATAACTCAATAACGAGGACGGTAACCCCCCAAATTTTTTTTTCACTTAAAATGTTTCTGTTATTATATTCTAACAACATGCCAAGTTTTAAGAAATTCTATTGAACAGTTTTAATTTTGCCTACATGTCTGTATGAAAACTCCGGAAAACGTCCTTAATTGCATTATTTTAGTGATAAACAGGTATCTTTAAATAGAACCAGTAACCTTCTCTAAGTAAACTGGAAGTTAACACCATTTGTATTATTTATTTCAGGTGGCTGTGGACAGTGCGGTAAATCTCCCCTGGTCAAACTTTACCCATGCTCATATGTGTCTCAACCCTCCAGCAGCCTTTTATCTGGTATGTATATCATTTGATGTCATTATTGATGAAACATGAATAACTTATTATGATTTTCCCTAAAATATGTCAGGTGGTTTCTTTATTATTCCTGTTATCTATTTGATCATCAGTACTTATTTTTCACTTTTCCTTAATTTATGTATAAAAAAGCTATTTGATCAACTTCATTTAATGGACAATATAATGTTAATTTCAATAAGCCATACATACCTACACTATTTGTTTTATATATGGGGAAAAACAGAAATGACCATTTGAAAATTGATAAGAATTTTATCTTTGACTCAAAATTTATGTATTGCCACAATTTGATAGCAATTTTAACTTTTTAAACTTAAAATTTATGTGATGCATTTTTCTTGAATCATTCATTTTCATGTATTTTATATTGAAGCATCTGATTTGGTTGTTAATAATCTGATCTTTAACAACAGATATAAAAAAATAATGTTTTTTTGAATAAGAATAGTTAAACAACAAATTGTTTAACTGTATTTTAAAAAATTCTTAAGAACCATCCCTTACTCTTACTATGCTAAATATGTATTACGTAATTTTCCTGTTTTGACTTTGGAACAGTTCATAGGTAGGACAGATATAGGTAGGTTATTCTCAAAATTTCATAATATAGACAATGTACAGTATTTTGTCTGGTCATACTGCACTGATGTTCAGACTAACCTATCTCAATACTTAGGCCAGCAAATCTCATAACTACCTGTCACAAAGTTTAACCTGTTTTTGTGTTATATTGTCACCATTTGTGGATATATATTTACAGGGTGCTCCACATGCAACCTATGACAAGTTAACATTTACAGAACTTCTTGATGTCAGAAGTACAAATACTTCACCCACGTGGAAAGATGGCTTTAAGGTATGTTGTTGGGGTTTGTATTTGTCACGAGGTGAGAAAAATGTGCAGCCTTACCGGGACTCGAACCCAGGACCCTCAGAATACCGTTCTGCGGCTATACCGACTGAGCTATCCAGCTGCTTACACATTTTCTCCCCTAGTTAGTGAACAGTTTTGAACCATGACATACTCCCCTGCTATATTTCACACAGAAATACAGAGCAATGTAAATTAAATTCTGAGCTATATCAGTCACTGCCCCACGTTGGGCGCCAAATGTCACAGGGTGAGAAAAATGTGCAGCCTGACTGGGACTGGAACCCGGGACCCTCAGAATACCATACCACTAGTTTTTATTACTATAGCAGAAACCCAGCAATTTTTGTTTATACATAAATTAAAAAAGTCAGACATAAAATAAATCATAAACTTTTAGAAAACGTTTTCCTTGTCCTTTAGAAGTACTTATGTTTTAACCAGTTTGTTTTTTTTATATAAATATACAAATGCAGTTGTTAAAAAGGCCCATTGTATACCTGCCATTATCCAGGGTAATGACTATCCTGTTTTTGTTATAGGTGCTTGGTAACTATTCTAAATTATATTGCTGTTTCTTAACTAACCTACAGTATTTAAGGTTACTGTTGCACTAAGCAGAAAACCCTTTCTGCTCCAATTCATAACGACTTTCATAGAAAAAGTGATGTTGACTGTAAAACCTAATAGTTACCAGTCCTATTTAATTACATACAGACATGAGTTTTACCTATGTTGATGTATTATTATTTCAGCATTTTCCTCGACGTTCATATCATCGTTTCCTCACTATGATTATTCATCTACAAGAAATCTCAGTCAGTGTAGCAAAAGAAAACTACAAATATGGTCTTCTAGAGCAGGTAAACTTTCTAACCATTTTTATTTAAGTACATTGATCTTTGGTCATTATTTTGAGCACTACTAACAATCATAAAATACCTGACCCTCCAGCCTGTTCCTCCTAATAGTTTTACCAGACTCCTCAGCTTGGCTGGTAAATATATCAAAACCCTATAGATGTACAATTGGCATCTCCAAATCAAAGTTAAATACAAATGTCATAGACATAAAATGTTTTATAAGGTCCCACAACTTTAATGTCTTATGATATAGGTATTTAAAATTTTTGTTTTTTGTTTTATCTGATAAACTTTATTATGGCATTGTTGTTGTTACATTGTCCATGTTGAGATGATAATATTATGGAAATTAGATACCCGTATTTAGTTAAAAAGGGCCAAACTGTCAAATTCAGATGGAAAAATTAACATTATATAATTTTGGTAATGTCACTGAGTGATCTTTGTATTTTATCAAGGCTTGGACAGCAGTGCAAATATTCACAGACAAGTATTGTACTACTCAGGCGTTCCAACTTCCTTTATTTGCTGGTTCTCCTTCACAAACAATACTCAAACAGCTGGCAAGGGAACCATGCAAGGAATGGATGGAGAGAAACATCAGAAATAATGGGGTATATTTTTACATAACTTTCATCTTATTAACAACTGTAGAGATATATAAAAAGATTAAACATCTGCTCATAAACATTATGTAAGATGTAATGTCATCTCATGAAAAGTGAATAAAAACAACAACAAAAATGTAAGGTATGAAAAAATTATGTAAATTAAAAAACATGTTAAAATCGATAATATATAATAAATTCTCCATCAGTAATGATTAACATTTAGGTTGTCTTTCTTTTTGATAGTTATAGGTTCTCAAATGTTTCACATTTTATAAAATATAGGTTCTTGAGTGTTTCATCATAAAATATATGTTTTTAAGTGTTTCATATTTCATATGTATAGATCCACTTGCTGGAGGGATCGTCTATATTTGTGCGTGTAGCAGATGCCCGCAGAGATGATGAACTTGCCTCAGATATCTCTCATAATAAATTGGTAATCTTTCTTAAACTTTTTATACAACATTAATATTTTTTTCAAGTTATTTATTTCAAAGATTATATTGTCTTTCAGTCTTTAATATCACAGTTCATCTTTTTTATTTCAATTTGTTGAAGATAAAAGCAAAGGAATATTGTCAGTATTTTATAACTTGTCATGTTCATAATGTAATCAAACATTATGGAGAAATATTCTCCCTGTAAATATAGAATACAATTGTATATTGATGCATTTTGTCTTCTGTAATGAGAATAGCCTAATTGATTAACATGATAGTATACCAAAAAGTCTAATTAAAAAAAACAGCAACAAAACTACAAACAGTAAAAGCTGCATTGACTGTAACTTGTTTGTTTTTATGTAATAGGTTGAGGTAAACACAGACTATATTCCCGTTGGTCTTGAGGAAACGTTCTCTCGTGAGAGGCCAGGCAAACCCCTCGAGAGTTTAGTTCCAGTTGGGAAAACACCTGAACAATTTGTAGAGAATCTCAAGGTCAAATTTAAGAGTGTAAGTATAGCATTTGTATTTTAGCAAGTTTCTCTAATATGCCATTGATAAAATAAATCCCCAGTTTCATTATATTTGTTTATTTAGAGATTTGAATTAAATTAGGAAGGTGGTTTAACTGCTTACATATTTCTAGAATTTAGTTGATATTGATGTTGTTGTAATGAGCCTTCCATAATTTTTGTAATGTCAACATATTGTAATATAGACTGTTTGATTGTTTCAGCTGGTATACAAGCTATATGAGGAAGGAAATGTGAACAAGTGAATTGAGGTCAAGGTCAAAATGAAAAAGAAGTAGGTCAAGCAGGTTTCCATAGCAGCAGATATGTGATATCATGTAGACAACATTTAAATCAGATATGATTCATGAATCAGAAATGGGTTCAAAGTTGAAAATAATCGCATAAAGACAGTGATTTTTTTTTATTTGAAACTGTTGTGGCATGATTTTAGATTTGGGTTGAAAATTCTTCTTGGGTGGAAAATTCATCCTGGTATATTATTTATTCAGATATGTTGTGTTTACACATTATTTGTTCAAATATGTTGTGTATACACACACATTTCAATGCACATACATTTTGAATGGTTATTTCATGGCATGTTGTAGGATATAATATTAGGTCAACAATATTTTAAAAGTACTTTTTGACTACTCTTTACAGAGATATCTTTGATAATAAAATAATATCAATATCTACAGGGCTCATAAAAAGGAAGGCCATGTCATTTGTAGAACTGTAAAATATGACGTTAATATGCCTATTAAAATTTGGTCAAATTAATGAATTATTTCTGTAGAAATTGATCAATCACTTGACATACCTTTATGTTTAAAAGATACAACAGAGTGAAACATGCATAAACATAAAAAATCTAAATTTTTTGATTTCAGAAAACATGTCATGAAACAAAAGCTATATTTTTGTAAGATATTTTTTTGATAATGATTATTTAGGGCATAATGTCAATATAATGTTCCAGTGTGTATGCACTTATATAACTACACATTTTTTGAAAAAGAAAAGCTTTCATTTTTGAGCACTTGATGCTGTGGGGATGAATTTATTTTATTTTATACATGAACCTTTTTATATCAGTAAATACAGGCGTTGATATTGCAGTAAATATATCATTAACTTGCTTCAATCATAATTTGAGGTGTGGTAAAGAGGTGTGGTTCATTTATAGCAGTATTCAGATGCTTCTATAAACACTTATTGTAAGGTATTCAGGCCAAAGATGTACTACCTTTCCAGTAGATACGCAGATGAAGCATAGTATTTATGTATCATTATTATCATGCTTCAAAATATTGTAACACTATCAAATGTTTTATTATTAAACCTGCACAAGTATTTACGTTTTAATTCACTATATAATTTATTTTATGTATTGCTCATCTTGTTTTTTTGTCAACTGTTAGTTGTATACAATGTGCGTTTGTTTTATGAAGACATAGGTCAGATATTCTGACACTTTACTTTAGATATGCTAACAATTTATTTAGACGTTGTGTGAGTCTCGGCAACATTAATCTGAATTACACTGAAATATTGTCATGGTCTTGTCTGCCGTCTGTATAGGACAGGGTCAAATGTGATAAAATGGATGTCATTATTAGAATAGGCAACACGTGTAGAGTCTGGTCCTATTGTAGTGATGTTGCTGGCTATTTGATTTAGACAAGCTTGGTTCATATAGGGATCTATCCATTATCACATGTGACACTGAAAGGGTTTGATAGCTCATGTAATCTTGTATGATGCAATGGAAGCGCACAATTATGCATTGTGTTGCAACAATTCCGTCCACTTATACATTTGTTTTTTTATATTTTATTTTATCCATGTGAAGTCAAAAATCACATGTTTACATTTGAAGCACGGTATTTGGTTTTATTAAAAAATGTTTATTTATATATAGATAGATAGAGATTTATTATTATTGTTTTAAGTTCTAGCAATGTTTTCAATTCATTAGCTGTCAGTATGCATGATATTTTTTTACTACATCTCCCTCCTTTTAGAAAACCTGTGCCATTGAATTTTCTGTAGTTATTAGTTTTAAGGATTGAAAATGCACCATGTGTGTTGTTTACTTTGTTAATAATGTTCAAATATTTATTTATTAAAACATTTATTTCAATTACGAAATTTATATATTTAAAATTTTGAATTAATTCCATTTATTAAATCTGTTGTTATTTAAGCAAGTGTTTTGTTTTATTTTGAACAGTCTACTGAATATTAGATCTCTTTAAAAGTCTGTGATAGTTGTAAAACCCCACTGATAACATAGCAGTAATTTGCCAAACCTATATCACCAATATTATTTACTAATTAGACAAAAAACGCAATCTACACATTTGATAGATACAATACAGCTGTTCATGAACCATACAGGATTTGTTTCACGTTGTGTCAGATTAAAATTCAAAAAGCGATTTCACTTTTTTAATTCACTTACAAAAAATTACTGTACATGTGCCCTAAATATGAAGCAGTATGTATGCTAGCCAGGTATTGCTATCCAGGGGGC